AGGAGAAAGCTACCAACGGTTACATACTGGGAAAATGTTTCGCTGATGTTTTAAGAATAGTCAAACAAAATGGAGAGAACACTATAAACAAGTTTATATTTTCTGCTCCACCTCTTTACCTTTTTCAAACTTGTCCAAGACAACAACTAGAACTTAGTTTCTGATAGAAGATGACTAACTAAGGTTGCATGCATAAGTGTACGGGACAGCCCTAACAACTGGCATAGACAGTCAACCAGAAAGAAAGGAAAAAATATCCAAAGGGTGAGCTATATTAGTAAGTGATTGCCTTTTTTTCTCTTTTTTATCTTTTTTTCCATCTTACGCTCTTTTTCTTCTTCCCCTTTCTTTTCGTACCTTATCTATGTCTCATTTATAACAAGGAACAACATGTTTATCCCCTCTAGTTTAGACTATAGCTTGTACTCAAAAAGGAACAACATGTGCAAGGCCATAGAGCCCCTTAATGGGGAAGCAAGGGGGGTTTAGGGCCAATAACAACAACAAAGAGGAACGTACCTCACAAAATAACCATGCTCTGCTGCGATCCCAAGCTTTGCACAAGAAGAAAACCATTCAGTTAAAGTCTTTCTGTCTTTCCCACTAACAAGAAAGACAACGTTCCTTGGATCATTGCACAAATTGTTCAAGATTCCAACAGCCTCTGTATTAGGAGTGGTAATAATCGAACCCGGCAGCATCATAGCACCATCATAATCCAAAAGAATCGCTCGATTTTTGGTCCTCTTATAAGCTGAAACAATATGTTCAACTGAGAGCTTTCTGAAATTTGGATCCAAAGCAATCACCCTGAATCCTAACCCAAAACCAATACCCCAGCACCTCCTCCTCATATGGTCCCTACATGCCCTTTCAAGATCCTGCAAGAAGCTACGTGCCCAATATGCAACATCATGTGTAGTAACATACCTATAATGCTTCTCGTGCCGCAACTGTTTTTCTGCCTCAGGGACCATTAGGGCAGAGTCCATAGCTTCAGCAACAGCATCAATGTTCCACGGGTTAACTCTAATTGCCCCGCTTAGTGATGGAGAGCACCCAATAAACTCAGATACCACTAGCATGCTTTTTTTGGGGGCTGTTGGGTTTAGTCCTAAAGTCTCATCTAGCTTCTCATTTCCTTGGCGGCATATTATATACTCATAGGGTATGAGATTCATCCCATCCCTCACTGCTGTAACAAGACAACACTCAGCAATTACATAATAAGCAATTCGCTCATAAAACTGAAGTGGGGTATCAATCAAAACCACAGGATTGTATCCTTCCCTTCCAAAAGTCTCATTGATCCTCTTCACTGTGGCATCAGTTTCTACCTGGACCTCCCGGACATCTTTCCCCCGGCCTCTTGCAGGGTTAGCAACTTGAACCAAAACAACCTTACCCCTCTTATCAGGATGTTGTATAAGCAATTGTTCCATGGCCAAAAGTTTTAAACTAATTCCCTTAAAGATGTCCATGTCATCAACCCCAAGCAAAACAGTTTGCCCCCTAAACTGATCTTTCAACTCAGCAACTTTTGATTCAGTCTCTGGAAGATTCAACACACATTGCAGTTGGCGTATGTGTATCCCAACAGGAAGAATCTTAATGCTTACTGTCCGACCATAATACTCAAGCCCAATGTATCCTCGCTTAGACTGATATGAGAGGCCAAGCATTCTACTACAACAAGATAGGAAGTGCCTAGCATAATCAAAAGTATGGAAGCCAATAAGGTCAGAATTCAAAAGTGCTCTTAGAAGCTCATCTCTTACAGGAAGTGTCCGGTATATCTCAGATGAAGGGAATGGACTGTGGAGAAAGAATCCAAGCTTCAACCTATTAAACCTCTTCCTCAAAAATGTTGGCAAAACCATCAAATGGTAATCATGAACCCACACAAAATCATCATCGGGGCTAATCACTTCCATTACTTTATCTGCAAATATCTTGTTCACAGAAACATAAGCTTGCCATAGAGACCGATCAAACCTGCCACCAAGATCTGGTGATAGAGGAAGCATGTAATGAAATAAAGGCCACAAATGTTGTTTACAGAAACCATGATAAAATTTACTAAAAAGCTCAGGAGGGAGAAATGCCGGGACACATTTGAAAGTATCAAGCAAAGTTTGGGCTACATCATCTTGCTCACTCGGGTCAATTTCTTCTTTAAGACAACCAATATAGACTACTTCTACATCTTCTCCAAGGCCATCTTTGAGTTGCAAAAGAAGCGAATCCTCATCCCAGCTAAAGTACCACTCCCCATCGTCTCTTCGATGGGCTCGAATTGGAAGCTGATTTCCCACTATGATCATCCGTTCTTGAGCAATGGATGACGGAGCATCAGATCCAACACTATTACTGTTATCATCATCAAGCTCAGACAATACTCCAGCAACAGTTGCCACTCGGGGGAACCTCTTTTTCTCACGGCCAAAAGTTGGGGAATCACCAGAAGTAAGGTCAAGTAAGTTGGAATAAGACCTTGAAACCATTGTGGAACTTTTGGTCAACTTGGAGGTGAAAGAGGATTATGTTGATTTGTCTCAGTCAACTTCTACAAAGAATTCCTGCTGAACAAATATAATCAGAACACAGAAAGCAAGAAATAGTTGAAATCTCATTGAAAATGAAATCGTTAACAAAAACCCACTAAAGCTGCATACAAGCCCTTACAACACAGAGAGATGCTTTACAAACAAAGAAAATTTAGCAGAAAGCTACTTTAGCTTTCCTCTCAACAGACATCCAGATGATGCAGAACAAGAACATTTAAATGTAACAAATAGCCAAATATTAAAATCTGGACAGTCAAAAGCTACTCTGAACAAACGCAGAAAAATTAAGAATCTACCAACAGATTTGGAGTCACCCAGAAGCTAAATCTGAAGAAATTATATCTAGCACTTTCAAGTAATTTACCTTCAGAGGCCAGTAAAGCAGCAACCCAGAAAAACAAGAATCTTCAAAAGAGTTTATCTCCACGGGCAAAATCCATCAAAGTAGCGTAAAAAATCAAAATGCATATTCAACCCATGTTCCATTTATCAAAGTAAAAAAATAATATTGACAGAGAGAGTCAACTAAGCAAGTGAATAAAAGCAGCAGCAGCACTACTCAAAACCCAAATGGAAAAGTGAACAGAAGTACCAAAAAGTCGCATGCAACTTGAAAGAGGAGAATACCAACCATAAAAAGGAGGCTTTAAACAATCATTTCAGATTGGAGTAAGAAAACCCACCTTTGCCTTGGAGTCAGATACTAGAGGAAGAGCCGACGGTGCTAACTGAGACACCAAAGATTCTCTCTCTTAAACTCTCTGTTTGTGACAATTTGCATTTGGAGAAAAAGGCCACTTCTTTCACTTTCAATTTGTTAAAAAAAGAAATGTATTCAGACCACCATTTCCTTTTACGTCCGACAACAAAACACATCAGATGTCTTTATACAAAGAATTGGATTCTCTCTCTTTCTCTCTCCTCACTCTCTCTCTCTCTCTCTCTCTCTCACTAGCTTTGTGTGAGTGAGTGATGACATGATCAACATTTCTCCAGCATTGCTCAACTATGGTTAGTTTTTCTTTTCTTTTCTTTTCTTTTTTGGTCAGGATTTTAACTCAACTTCAGGAAGAGGAAAGTAGCTCAGGAAGGAGACTTGGAGTGGAATAGAATGTGAGCTTTGTATTCACGAAAATAAGATTGGCCATTTCAAGTTTTGTCGTATTATATTAGTTTTCTTTTTCCTTTTTCATTTTGTCTATTTGCAAACCTTGGCGGCACCTAACCACTTTTTTGTATTAAGTTTCATATTTTCATTTCATGAAAATTAAATAATGTAAATCAGTTCATATGCAGATTGGCAATGCAATCCCCAACGCAAAAAACTGAAATCTTAGATTTTGGTCAAAATATGGGTCGGGGCATGTAGAAGCTTTGTAGAAGTTTTTCTTTTGGTCACCGCACGTTCAATTTTCCGATTTTGGTTATTGTATTTGCAACTGTTAAATTATGTCAAATGTTTCAATTCCGTTAATTTCATTAATTTATTTATTTTTAATATTAAATTAAAAAATAAATCAATTTTAATTATTGGGCAGTGGCTATGCCGGATCTGGCTGGGTGGATGACAGTGAGAAGGGTGGTGGCTAAGTGGTGGTTCACAGGAGACTGGCAAACGTGGTTGTTTTGGTGGTGGCAGCTGTTGTGGTTGTTTTAGTGAGAAAGTGGGAAGGTGGAGCAGCTTGGGTTGATGGGCTGTGCTGGGGCTAGGGTTGCGAGACGTGGGGTGGGCAGTTGCGAGGGAGGGTGGGAAATGGGTGGCTTGAGGAAAGTTGTTATGGCTATCGGGAGGAGGTTGGGTAAAGAGAGAAAGATGAGGATTTAGAAATTGAAAATTTTCCTAATCATTAAATTTGATTTATTTTTAATTTAATAAAACTAAGGTAATTGAAATATTTGACATAATTTACTAACAGTTGTAAATACAGTGATGAAAATCGGAAAATTGAAAGTGTAGTGACCGAAAGAAAAACTTCTACAAAGGTTCTACATGCCTTCTATTTTGACCAAAATCTAGGATTTGAGTCTTTTGCATTGGGGATGGCATTGCCAATCTACATATGAAATGATTTACATTATTTAATCTAAATGTTTCGTGAAATGAAAATATTAAACTAAATGCAAAAAAGTGGTTAGGTGCATATACGAAATTAACAAAATTGAAACATTAACTTGATTTACAAACAGTTACATATACAGTGACCAAAATTAGAAAATTGACAAGTGAGGTGACCAAAATTGTAACTATCCTCATTTTGTGGGATCTACATATGGTGCCTCCCTATTAGGGGTGGCAATTTCGATTACGACCCGTTACACGATTCGAAATCCACACAAAAATTTGAATAGTCCAGGCCTCCTAGCCGGCAAAATGACCTGATCCTCAGGAAGAATTATATCTGGAAACCTCAATTCTGGGAAATACACCTGCAGTCAGATCTGAATCATCCAGAATGGACCCGGAGCAGAGATATTCAGGGGGTTCTCCAAAGTAGTGCTATGAAGGTTCTCGTACAAGTAAGCTAGAACTGTAGGACCAAGCCCCACATCAGTATGATTATGCAGAGTTTCTGCCATATGTCAATACTCAAGAAGAATTGCTAAAGAACAATTTGGGAAGACAAACCTGTTCAACCAGCACAGACGAAACAACATGTGTTGTTGATCCCTATCCCTCTCAACACTGAATCTCTTCAGGTAGTTGGAGAAGAAGCAGTTATGGTTGATCATGGCAGGAGAGATAGTGAACTTCTTCGCCAGCTTCTTATAATTCTTCCCTCTGTGATAGTCACCAACTGCATTAGCATGCCTCCCATGAGGTCTAAACCCAAAGATCTGACCCATACCCAGAAAAGTTGGAGTCATTGGATCCACACGGAAGTCTAAAGTGTTGCTGGCAGAATTCCAAAAGCAGAGAGCAACAGCAAGCAAATTCTCATCCATGTTCATAGACTGCTTGGACAAGAGGATGGCATCATAAATTCCAGCCTTTTTCCAATGGTCTCCATACCTTGGAAAAAGTCTGTCAATCCAGTCTGACCACTTCACAGTGCTATTCTCACTTCGCTTGTGGGATAGGAGCGGCTCAAATTCTTACTAACCCAAGTGTGAGAAGCCAGAGCAAAAGAACTCTGGAAGCACAGAGGAGCCTCAGCATCTTCTTTGAACAATTCCACCATTTCTTCAGGGATGCTGCCAAACCAGTGAGGGCCCATAACGAGAGTGTTCTTGAACAGTTAGAGAATGTTTTCATCTAGATTTTTCTGGGTGTACAGTGAAGCTTTCTACAAACTTCAATGGCGTGTTGATCAACGCCTGCTCCAGAAATATAAGGAGGAGGAAGAGAAGAGGAAGAACTCTTGGAGCAAGTTTTTGGGGAAGACATTTTCGATTCCAAGCAAGAACAGAGAAGAATTGAAGGATGATCAAAGGAAACCAAGGATTCTGATGGGTATCGAAAGAGGAAAGGAGTCAAGTTTTTGGATGAACAGGAACAAGGTGTTGAAATCTCTTATAAAAGCTCAGAAAAGATCATGGGAGGAGAGGAGTTACTAGGATTAAAATAGCTGTTAAAAATTGCCCATTTCCCCACGAAGTCTAAGTGAATAGGCAGACTTGGGCTAGAGCAGCGGCAGGAAATGGCGCACATCATTAATTGGCTAATCATTAAGTCTGAAACCGTTTTTCAAAAAAAAAAGACAAAATTCCACACACCAACCCAAGTAAAATTGGCCCGTATCAGAAGAAGGAATTTTTGGGCTTTGTTTTAAAAAAAGACAAAGATCAGCCTAGATGGTTTTAGAAGCCCAGACCCTTGGAGACCAATTAGCAAAAATGGACTAAGTTTCAAAGATCTCCAAAAGCCTAAAGAATTTGATCTTTACTATTGATCTCAAGTCAAATCAAGGCAAATATGTTGGAAGATCTTTTTTCCAAAAGAGGAGGCCCATGTGACGTTGAAAGTCAAATTTTTCAACTGAGGAGTTGATGGGGAGTTAATGGAAACAGGTTAACCAGAAGAACACTCTTCATAAACCATTCAAAATGACCAGAAGGAAAGGACAACCAAGTTGCCCTTCTATATCCATAGAGGGCTCTACATTGGAACATGATGTGTTTTTCAAGAAATAAAGGATCAAGAGAGTTTGTTCGCCAAAAAAGCAAGGAAAAGATCACCATAGAAACCAATTGTTGATGGTTCTTCTTTGCCAAAATAATAACTCCCCCTTTTTGTGGCATTAGAAAGGAAAATCTTTTTGAAAGATCTGCCGCCTAGTATTAAAAGATTAAAATAAAAACCCTCATTCCAAAGTTTTCTATAAATATGAGAGGAGGTGAACAGATTTGAGACAGCCAAAACATCAATCAAAACAAAACTCTCAAGTTATACTAACAAAATTCAAAAGAATAAAGTCATCTAGATCTCAAATTCAATCTTGAAAAAATCATTCAACCCTCAAGCAAAAACTGCCAAAACTTAGGTCATTATTCAATTCAAAGAAACAATTCACAAAGAGAACAAGTTTTTCTCTTGTTACAAATTTGGGTCAACACAAACCAAATCAAGTAGGATTCGGATTTTTATAATATGAAAACCTCAACAAATTTATAAAGAGGTCTTGATCAAGCAAAACTGGTACTATAGCTCAGCTCCAGCTCATCTATCATCAATCCAGCCACTTCTATCCTCGTCCAGACTGAAGAGCCTCAATTCTACCCATCCAACAAGCCTTCCAGAGCTTGAAACAGATTAAAGCTCTGCCAAATTCAAATTTTGGTATCGACTTCTAGCTGAAACCGATCAATTGAAGGTGCTGACAATCCAATCCAGCATAAACACATCCAATCCAGCCCAGTTCGAAGGCAGCTACCCAAGTAGAAATCGAAGTCCAAACGTTCTGTTGTCTTTTTCAAACTTGGCAGTTCTCTTTTAAGTTCTATAATAGGCAGTTCTACTTAAACAGTTTGCTCTCTTTTGATATTTATTCTGGCCAGAACTCCCAGTTTTGTATTGTGAAAATAACTTACCTGGGAGATATTCCTCACCCAAATTCACAATTACTTGTTCAGAATCAGTAACTTGGGGCACAAGTTATCTATTTTTTAGAAGTCTGCTAGGGTTTTAACTGCTAGCAGTGACACGCTCATACACAAAAAAAAAGTTGACTTGTTGACCACTAATGGTTCTCAAGTTAATTGGGAACTTTACCCTACCATCACATAATTAGATAAAAAACAAGTGAACACAAAGTGCCCAAGTGAGTGTCTTTTTAATATCTTTTGAGGGCTTGGTGTTTTTTTATTTCTGGGTTTGTTGGGATTGAGGTTTTGGTATTGGGTGAGTGGATGCAGATGGTCTTGGAAGGCTATAAAGTCATTTGCCATGGGTGAATTGGAAGCCAGGAAGCTCAAGTATGCAACGACTGGGACTGAAGCAATTCTCATTGGCATCCTTATAGAGGGTAAGCAAATTTCTTACCCTTTTAAGCTTTGATTGTTGTTAATTTTAGTTAATGATTCAATTGCATTTGAATGTTTTTTCTCTGATCATAATGCACGTGGTTGGGTTGATTAGTGCTGCTATAATTAAGTATTAGTTCCATTTTCCATAATGTTGTATCCGATTTTAAGATGGAGTCAAACAATCAGAGTTGAAGGACTAGATTATGTAAGACTAGAACTGCAAATTTCGAAATTTAGTTGGTTACGATGTGCATGAGTATCTTCAAGTGAGCTGCATAAGTTGAAGCTTAGTTAGCAAATTGTGCTGGTTAGAAGGGCCCTTGCGTAGTTGTGTGCACGCTTCTATCTTATGCATATTCGCTTAGTTGTGAAATTCGGGAAGTTACGATCCAAAAACAACAACTAAAGGCTAAATGAGGATGCAAATAACAGATATGAAGCGTCTTCTTACTATATATAAAAAAATAAAAATAAATAAATATATAAAAAAAATCTTACGAATCTCTGACCACATACTTACTCTGTACTGTACTGATAATGCGGTATACTTAGAATTGGGCCGAAGGAACCAGTCTGGCTGCAAAAAATTTACGGGCAAATGGAATTACACTTTTCAAGGTGTGTGAAGAAACGATCAAGTTACTTGGGAAAGCTGACATGTGGTTCTTCAGTCCTGAGCATCCCATCCCACATTGACTGAGGAAGCTCAAAGAGTGCTTTGGGCTGTTGACAAAAGGCTAAAATCTGGTGACATTCTGGGCTGTTTGATTCATATATAAATTTTTCTATTTTGGAAATTCTTTTGATTGGCCTTTGATTTTTTTTTGTGAATTCATATTGTTTCTTACACGTCTCATGAGCTAAAGTCTACTGCCGTATTTGGAATTGCATGGATGCCCGTTCTTGTGGCATCTTAACTTGCAGACAAATATATGAATTCAAATATACTGATAGGTAACGTAAGATGGCTGAGATGATATCAACGTGGATGTAGGCTAGTAACTTCTATTTGAATAGCAAAACATATGATTTTGTAAAAGAAAATTTTCTGATTTTGTTTAAATGCTTATTGTGTTCTGTAATTTCATTTTTCCCATTCTGCCATCTGAGAATTTGTTCGCTTGAGTGTGTAATCTTTTTAAAATATAGAGCTCTGGGTTAAGTGTTATAGTAATACTCAATGCATGGACTGGCTTCATTGATTTGCATTATGTTTGGGTTGAAAAGACACAGTAGTAGACGCATCTCGCATTATAAGGGTAAAAGGTTTTGGATTCTCTGGCAGCTCCCATATTCCACCATGAATCATGTAATGACGCGTTCTTCAAAAGTATGAATGTTTAGCGAGAGTTCTAAGTAAAAATCCACCATTAATATGGGATTGTGATAGTTGCTAATATGTTTGCATGCAGCATGCTCATGTATAATAAGTTCTGTACGGGTAATTTTTTGATGAAATAATATGGCATCAACATTCTCCAAATTTTACCCAAAATAATATACATGCAGGATGTGAGGAAAATATTCTCATGAGGACAGCTAGGGAAATGGGAACTCAAATAACATAGACACCTAATTACACTTTGGTTGAAGCTAGGCATTGCAACGGGGCAGATTTGGGCCAAAAGTTAGGTAAACGATGGCTTGTAGGGGATTTGGGGCATCAGTCACTTTTTTAATTTAAATTTGTGCTTAAATAAAATAATGCAATTTCATGTAAAACAACATATAATCATACTCCGATGTTGGAACAGAACTATCTAAAGAAATAAAATAAAGCTTACATATAATCATACTCCAATATTGGAACAGAAGTATCTAAAGAAAGTAAAATAACACTTACAATTTCATGGATATATGTGAATGAGATATCAGGCCATAGACTTCTTAATGCAACCTCGACCTCCACAATTGTCAAGTTCCAATTATTTTGGTTGAAACGATAATGTATGTTTCTCATGAATCTTAACAATTGATTCGGATCCGAACCATATATAATTCTCTTCGGATCAAATTTATATATTGCAACCATAAATGGTTCACACCTACTCAAATCCAAATTCCAATCAATGAACGTATAGCAAATGCAATATTTTTGTTGAAAAATCTTATACGTGCAGAAGAGCTCTTACTTTGATAAATATCATCGATCTTCTTCATCGTTAAGCTGGGCGTCAGTAAAAAGGGATAATCAATCAATTTCTGAACAAAATTATTAACACTGAAAAAGAGAAAATAACAATATTAATAAATAGATAATATCAACATTATTCAGCAAACAAATAAATAAAGAAAATTAACTCACCCTGACAGCTGGAGAAACAACACAAAATTGTCTTTATTCGTCCATGATTGATAGCCATAAAGCAGACTATTTATGTAGTCCCCGAAGCTTGAAAAATCTGTAAGCTTCATGACTCCTCGATCTTGAACACCATCCAGAGAATTCATAACGTTAAATAATTCTATCCTTCCAACAATGACATACATGTAGCCATGCTGAAGACCACCGTGATAATAGCCATTTTTATGGATTTTTTGAATGGCTGACAATAAGCCCCTGCCAAAAGAAAAATATAAAGTTAATTATGCCAACAAAATAATTCTAAATCAAATACAAAATAGTAGTATCTTAAAAAACACTAATATTAAATATGACTTTCACATAATTTGCATTATCCATGAATCGTGAAGTCGGGATTCACCCTGAACAAGTAAAGGAGGCAGTGAAGGATATGGATTTGGTTGATAGAGCGACAGTGCCCACTGATGGACTATTGCATCGAACCATTCATAGCCAACTGACCAAAACTCATTCATATAAGAGTTGTTATACTATAATCCTCATAACAATTAACAGTGTGTCCAGGGGGCGGGGAATTGGCTTGACAATAAACAAGCAGATATGGGCTTAAAATGCGATCATTCATATTGCTAACAGAGCATGTATAATCAAAAACATTTTGAAGCCAGTTAACATCAACTTCAGCACCAAAGTTAAAAAACATTTTGAGTCCTAAACCCATGAAATTTTTTAACTTTGGTGCTGGAGTTAATATTAACTGGCTTCAAAATGTTTTTGATTATACATGCTCTGTTAGCAACATGAATAACCACATTTTAAGCCCATATCTGCTTGTTTATTGTCAAACCAATCCCCCACCCCTTGGACACACTGTTAATTGTTATGAGAATTATAGTACAACAACCCTTATATGAATGGGTTTTGGTCAATTGGCTATGAATGGTTCGATGCAACAGTCCATCAGTGGGTACTATCACTCTATCAACCAAATCCATATCATTCACTGCCTGCTTTACTTGTTCATGGCAAATCCCGACTTCATGATTCATGAATAATGCAAATTAGGTTAAAGTCATATTTAATATTAGTCTTTTTTAATATACAACTATTTTGTATTTGATTTAGAATTATTTGTTGGCATAATTAACTTTATATTTTTCTTTTTTGCAAAAGCTTATTGTCAGCCATTCAGGAAATCCATAAAAATGGCTACTATCATAGTAGTCTTCAGCATGGCTCCATGTATGTCATTGTTGAAGGAAGGATAAAATTATTTAACATTATGAATTATCTATCTTCATTGTTCTACAAAGTACGCTTCACTTGTCCCACTGAAACTTTTCCCATCATGTTTTTCTTGTAGATTGAAACTTTCCTTTAAACAATGAACATTTTCTCTTTCTCCCCGAGGAGTCAAACTACCCAAATTGGCTAATCGAGCCCACGGGGCCCACAACCTCCATTTTACAATCTGAATGTTCCTAAGGGTTTCAATATGCCTTGAACATGTGTCTTGAGAGTTTGGTCTCAATCGCACAGTCGGATCACTCACAATTGGACGGTTACGGTAAACCTAACCCCAGGGTTGATCATTTCGGAGTATCTAGGACTCCGATTCACGATATGTCAATTCCTACTCGATCCTAGAACTGTCTAGATCAACGTATATTAAATGGGTTGCAATCCAACGGTTCAAATGTATCGAACTCGGAAATCGCACAATAGGCGAAATCTGTTCGGGGTCCAAACGATATCCGAATTAGAATCTAAGCACCTCTACGCGCTTGTGACAACTAGAGGATCGCATTGGGACACAATATCACTTTTGCTACAGTACCCACGCCCCTACAGCGCGTGGGTGTCCAAAGCGATACCCTGGGTCGGAAAATCTTCAAACCGAGGGCCACCCTTCCACCTACAGCTACTACTCGACGAGTGGAACACTTTATTCAACTACTGTAACGTCCAATTTGGACGGCAAGTGGCCGGAATTTCAAATCGAAAACCGGCCAAAACCTAGGTTGTAAATTGGGTTACCAAAACTAAAAATGGATCAAATCCTATCCAACCATCAGCTAGAGCTCAAAAAATAGATGAGATTCCATACCTCATTCGTCGGAAACGGTGGCCGGAGGAAAGAGAACGAGAGATTGAAAAGCCGTGCGAAAATCCGGCCATTTTCCTCATTTTCCGGCCAAAACCGGCGGTTGTGGCGGCTGGGCTGAGGCGGGACGGGAAGAGGGAGAGGTTGCGGTTCTTTTGGAACCGGTGCCGCCAAAAATGGCGGCGTGTGGCGACGGTGGTGGCTCCTTGAGCCACCGGCTGGAAGGAACATTTTCGGGGGAGGGGGAGCTGCTCGCGGGGAGAGAGAGAGAGAGAGATAGAGGGAGAGAGAGAAGAAATCTGGATTTATAAAAAATTCCAGTTTTGCAAAATTACAATTTTGCCCCTATATAAGTTTTAATCGCCATTTCTTCCTTATAACTCCGATTCGAGCCCATTACTTGTCTACGAACTCGTTTCAACGTGCTCTAAGCAACGGTTCAATTGAAATTTCCAAATTTATTCCGGTCAAAATGTCAACTTTAAACCTAATAAAATATTTTAATGGCAAAATAATATTTTAATAGAATAAATTAATAATTAATAATTAATTTAGGATCGGCTTGTTACAATTTGGGTTTGTTTTGATAAATTGACTTTATGGCTTGTCAAATTAGGATTTTTGAATTGAATTAGGGCTTCTGAGATAAGAGCTTTGAATTGTGAATTAGGTTCCTCAATGTTGGAGAAATTATATGATATGTTCTTTTAAGCCTAAAAGGAATGGTTTATTTTTTTTGTCAAAATGATTTACTCGGGTTCAAATGAATGTATGAATTTTTTTTTAATTCCAAAATGGTCTTCCTTTTCTTTTAAAAAAATTACATATTTAGGGCTTATTCGGTAATGTTTTAAGGGGTTGTTTTCATTTTTAGAGAACAAAAATTAGGCAAAAACACGTTCGATGGCCCAGAAATAAAAAACACTAAGAATGTTTTCATAAAATGAAAACAAGTTCATGTGTACTTGTAGAAAAAAGAAAAAAATTGTTTTCATTCTCATGGGAAACGTTTTCATAAAAATAACTCACATTTAGTATTTCAAATTGTACTACCAAACATGTTTTCATTGTTTTTGTTTTATGAAAATTTTTTCTAATTAATCTACCAAACGCATTTTCATTTCCTGAAAATGAAAATTCATTTTCTTATTTTCATTCCCTGAAAATATTCTAAGAAAACATTACCCAAAAACGTTACTAAACGGGTTCTTAGTGTTGAGTGTATGTAGAGAGGGGGACCACAATTTAGAATTTCGTCTTGGGCCTTAGAAAACTCTGATCGGCTTTGTTCACTTGTAGCATTGAGTCTAATGTGTAAGTTTTGCCAAACCAATTATTAAATCCTGGATCCATCACTGCTTCTACATCTTTCTCTCTTCTTTATCTCTTCCTCTTTTTCTCTTATCTCAAACCAAATCGAAACAGTACATATCTGGTTTGGTTTGATTTCTCTAGGCATTATGTGTAAAAATCAAGGGAAATATGCTGATATAATCACTTTTCAAAACTTTTATTCTCAAAGGACATGACGTCCTTAATAGAATCACATTTTACACTCCTACATTATCAAAATACCCTCAAGCAAGGAATGGGCGGAGAGGCTTCTGTAAAAGTTGAGTATGTAAAAGATGTTCTTGACTTGAAGGTGAATTAGTTACTGGCCAAAGGCTTCTTTGGAAATTATTTTCCTTCGCAACTCTCCAAGAGCTAATCCAGCATGAGGGAAAAAACAGAGTCAGAGATACATAGGTAAGTGGAGAAACTGTAACTGCAGGCATTTTAGTCATGAGCTATGTCAGGCAGTGGCACTTTTTCAAGCCATCAGAGAAATTGTAAAGCATGAGAATTATCAATCAAGCCTAATAATACTGAAGGAAACCCATTACCTATCAATACAAGATTTATGAGAATCACAAAGTAACAAATTTGACATGCCTACATGTCTGACCTTTCTTGTTTATTTGGAAATAGTGAAAAGATATTAATATAAGGAAAGAAAGGAAACAGTGCATAAGGGATTTAAAAGAAAAAAAGTGGCAGGGAAGGACAACCTTTGTGACTACAAATAGATGCATGTGTCTAAATCTTTTCGCAATGATCATGCCTTACAATTTCAGCCAGCAATACCATCAAGGATTAAATTTGCAATAAGAAGGCTCAACATAGAAATAAAAAATACAAGACAACCTAGAACAGAAAATTATTGACCCAGATCAAATACAAACCTTGGCCTGCCCGAGATGCTAGTTGGTACATCTAGAGTAAAAATTTTAAGAATGCCTTCAAACATGGTAGGGCTAAAAGGCCTACCAGTCTCAAGAACACTTGCATCTTTGTTCTTTGAACTTGAACCACTAGGCATGTCAAATTCAGAGACGAACTCTGCAAATGCACCCAATGTTGGATAGCCAACCTAATAAAATCAAATTCAAATGGACAACATATTAGTTAAGTGATTAGCCAGAAAAAGAACCAACATTAGGCAAGGTAGCTTCCTACTTTTTGAGATCAGCAGTCTATATAAATTTTGTTATTTGCAAATAGGAATTCTACTAAAACTACGTAAATGCAAAGTAATCGAATAAACAAAAGAAACCTTAGGCACTTTGCGAGTTCTCAATTCCTGCAGAAGCTGAACAAAAGGAGAACAGGATAGAAGAGCCCGTAGTGTTGCATTGAGAAAGCACAGATTCCCTGAATTGATTAAACCACGAGGCAACAAGACTGTAGAAACTGTAACAGGCCCATTCAAACACTTCTGTAGTTCCGCCTTTACCTTAGAAGCTAATAAATCATCAACACGACCATTCTGCTCTCTGTTATGCAATTCCAGACTTGGAAATTGATTGGAGAGACCACCTTTGTTATTGGATAAAGGTAATGAAGCTACATCAATATTATCCGTTGTCGCCTCTTTCACGCCATTACTATGGGCAGAACCATTTTTATAATTATCAGTACATCAACTCTCTGTAGGAGTAGTTAAAGATGCTGGTAAACTATCACTTGCTACTTTTACAGCCTCCACTTCATTCTGCTTATTAAGTGAACTTAAAGGCTGAACTTTGCTGAGCCCCTTCACAGAATTTTGTGGTATGCTTGATTCACCATTACATTCACCTGAAGATATTATAGTACCAAAATATATAGACCCAAACTACAATACATTCTTTTCCACATGCTTTTCAGCCTTCCCAGGTGATTGCTTTTGCAGCAATGACATGGTCTTGTCTTCAGATAATGACCCAAAAACGAAAAGCTGCAAACAAGGAATAACAACAAAATTTAGCAGGTTTTATAACACAGGGAAGAGAAAAATCCCACGCCAATTAACATTAGTATTTCAAAATCACATAATTAACCATTAAGACTAGAACGGTGCAAAATATCCTACTAGATGCTGAAACAGCAATGATAACAACAAATTTACTTCTGCATTATTACTCAACAGCTAATTTAGGGCCTAGTGAGGTAAAGTTGTGTTATAATGGAATAGCCATTGCCACCACAATAAATTCCCACACTAAATATGCATCATAAAATGGAACTGAAAACACGCATCACAAACGAACCACTACTAGATAACAAATAGCAAGTTGAGGCACTTCGTCATCCATAGAGCAAAATCAATCAGAGCAGTAGAAGTTTCATCCAAGCATGAAGTAATTCACAGTTAAAATACAGAAATTTCCAATCTCTCTAATTACTGAACTTCACAAAATCAGTCACAGGTTAGTGAAAATTATCCTTCTCAAATGAAACCATACAAAAAGACAAACTAGTCAATAACAAATACAAAACCCACCTTAGAATCACTCATTTTGCGCACATAACCGAATTGGAAATCCCAGAAACACCTAAAGAAAAGCACCGAATTTTGTCTGTGAGAGGATTGAGAATGAAGAGGAAGTATGTGAAAAAAGTCGGAACCGAAACCAAGAATTAGGGTTTTCTGAGGCCCTGAAGGAGCAGAGGAGAAGAGAAAGACGTCGATTGAAGACATGAAAAGAGAGGGAACTGAGAGATTGTTGAAGGGAGAGAGCATTTAATGAAGTAACCCTCTCTTTCACCTTCAAGAACCCTCTCAACAAAGCCTAACATTGACTGTAGAGAGAGAACGAGAGAGTGCTGCTTAGGTTTTAGCAACAGAGGGAGAAAGAGAGTGGAGGTGGTCGATGGAGAGAGAAAGCGCTGAGAGAGGAAGAGAGAACTGTGAGAGAGAGAGCTGAGACAGAGAGAGAGAGAGAGAGAGAAGTCAGAAGTGTGCCAATAACTCCACAATAGATATGCTTTTATATGGAGGGCACTTAAGTAATTTCAAGTCCCCAAGTGATTATATCATAATAAGATTTGTAAAGTGATCATTTGAGAATAAAAGTTTTGAAAAGTGATTATATCAGCATATTTCCCAAAAATGAAACTGAATCCATGTAAATATCAATTTTAATTTTAATTTCAAAAATAAACTAAACCAAACCAAATCGGACCATCACCAACCATAGTCGCAGGCACCCAATTGAAAACTACCCCAATTGCAATGGACAATTTTCTCATTTTCTCAAAGTAAAACAACCCAAACGCATCCCTACTAATTCTGATTGCAGTCCGTCCGTTGCTTGAGAATCCGCCATGGGAAAGAACAGAAGAGGAGGAGGACGAGAAAAACAAGACCACCGCCCTCCCCAAGACGAGGAGGACGACACGTGGACTCTCAAACCTCCACACAATCAAGACCAAAATCTTGACGCACCTTCAGTCCCTTGCACTTCTCAGGCACAGAGTATTGGCGAGGAAGGAAATGGGCAGCAAGAAAAACAAGAACAAGAAGAAATAATTGCAGTTGAGTCGTCTGAGTCTAGGAAAGGGGAGGATGATGATGTTTTGAGTAGATTGGAAGAGTTGCAGCTTGGTGTGGAAGAGCCCAAGTTGTCGGATGAGCAGCTGAGTATTGATGATCAGGCTCAGGAGGATGAGGTAGTGTTCAAGTTTTTAATTTTCTTATTATTCAATAAGCACAGGAGTTGAAAACATGAAGGGCCGCTTTGGTAATTGAGTCGTTTAAGCTTCTAATATAATTTATTAATGAGGGTAAAGGAAATCAAATTGCTACATTAAAAACATGAACGGGTGATTTCATAATCGAGATGATAGGGTGGGGGTAATGTTTATGTAGCAAGATTTTGCATTTCCCAATGAATTGTTGAGCTAGATATAGAAAAGAGTAATCTCTCTATGTTGGTGTAATACATAATGAGGGAGGGACGGAAGCTAAATAAAAAGCAATGCAAGATTAATGTGACTCTATTTATTTTTGCAAACCATCGGCTACTAGTTAAATTATTTGGTGCTCATTCTTTTAAGTTTGTGACAGTTGCTTGCTATGGAGTCCATTTATGGAGACGACTTTTTCATCTTTGAAAGACAAAGAGGCCGTCGATCATTCCAGGTTTGGCAATAATCCACTACTTCAGAGCTCCTTTAATCATTATTTAGTGAAATAAGTAAATATGTGAACCTATGTATATGCAGATTCATATACATGTTGAAGCTCCTGGTGAAATTGCTGTTACTACAAAGTTGAATTCATCTAGTGATCTTAAGACCAGAAGCGATGGTTCTGATGAATTCTCATACTCTTTCAAAGCGCAGCATCTTCCACCAATTATGTTGACATGTTTGTTACCTAAATCATACCCAAGTCACCTACCACCGTATTTTACAATATCCATTCAGTGGCTGCATTCTAGTAAAATCTCCCATTTGTGTTCTGAGCTGGACTCAATATGGAGAGAACAACCAGGGCAGGAGGTTATGTACCAATGGGTGGAATGGCTACAAAATTCTTCGCTTTCGTATCTTAGTTTTGATAAAGAAATAATTCTTGGTCCTTACGGGGTGAGAGATGCTGGAGATAGACGTGCAGTTACTGAAAGTGTTTCCCCAGAGGTTGACATTCCTTTTATTAGAAGTTACAACGATGAGAGACTCCATGAGAACTTTCACAAAAATTTGCATGAGTGCCGCATCTGTTTTAGTGAGTTTGCAGGTAATCTGACATAAACCTTTCTTGACACAGATTCTTTTGAATTTGACATAGAATTTATATCTATTTAAAAAATTGGTTTTTTTTTCTTTTTTTCTTTTTTCTTTTGGGCCTTGAGAAATATAAAACATATCTAATATTTACTTAGTTCACTTATAGTTGTTAGACTAGTTTTTCTCTATGCTTGAGAATTATTAATAACTTTGGCACTAGAGGGTCTTTTTCGTAAGATTTATGCTGACTCTATATTCTGGTTGAGTGAACTAAAGTATGATCATTGTTTGCATACACAAAGGGAAATAATCATTGAACAATTATGTTGGGAATTTTCATTCAAATCATTTCTCCGCAATAAGAGCAACAGTTCAATACATTTCATTCATTACCAGAGCCAAAAAGAAATTAACTCGGTTACAACTTACACGTGATTTTCTCTAGGCTTTTCCAGTATGATTTCTACACATGCATACAAGTACATGTAAAACTTAGTATTCATGTATCTGTGTGTTAAACAATGTCCTTGGGATGGATCTGTCTGAGATTCTGCCCTTAGGATGAAACTATCAGGATTCCATTTTGCCTGAATTCATTAAAATTATTTCATGATTGATTGTAATTACCTGGTCATAAGATCTTGTTAGCTTGTAATTAGCTTAATTGATTCATCCTTAGGAGGCAGCTTAACTGATTCATCCTTGGGAGGTGTACCATCTATTGAACTTACTATCTATGAAAAATCAATGCAGGTCTTATTCACCGCTCTAATTGATCTATCTTTCTAGGTACTGAGTTTGTCAGACTTCCATGTCAGCATTTTTTCTGTTGGAAATGCATGAAGACTTATTCTGACATGCATGTCAAGGAAGGCACCGTAAGCAAACTGCAGTGTCCTGATGCAAAATGTGGGGGTATGATTCCACCAGGTTTGTTAAAACGATTGCTTGATGATGAAGAGTTTGAACGTTGGGAGTCCTTAATTTTAATTAAAACACTAGAGGCAATGTCGGATGTTGTGTATTGCCCAAGATGTGAAACTCCCTGCATAGAGGATGAAGACCAGCATGCCCAATGCTCAAAGTGCTTCTTTAGCTTTTGCACACTTTGCAAGGAGCGGCGCCATGTAGGTATTCAGTGTATGACACCAGAAATGAAACTTCACATCCTGCAGGTAAAATTTATACTCTTTGCTGTGTTAATCTCTTTTTTTTTTGGTTACGGGATGGGGGGGGAATCATGTTTATCCCTTCATCAAAGCAGGATATTGTGCCTGAATCAACTGTCATTTGGTAGAAATGACAATCATAACTTATTTTCTGGTACTGAGACATGCTATGATTTGCTGTTAAAAATATTTGTTTCCTATCAAAACAAAAAGCAAGCTGTTGTAAAGGGAAAACAACACCACCTTTGCCCAAAATTTTTAATGTATGGGCAAATGCTGATGATTCCCTTAAGTTCCACATGGTAGAATTTGCTGTTAGGCTTAGTTACAAAACACATATTTTCTTGTTAATGGCTGATACTGTATAAATTCTATCTAATTTAGTTTTTTTAGGTTTGAAACTTTATGTCAGTTACAAATTCATCTGTGTAGTCTGACTTTATTGTATAAGAATAAGCAATGGTAGAGTTAAATGATCCAGAACCCTGATTTCTGCCTCTTCTTACATTCACACAAACAAGTTTCGGTTTTCGTTTCTGGTTCAGCAGGCATCTAGTTCTCATCTGATTTTCAATTGTCATTTTATTTACCTTGTAACTTGAATCTGATTATATGCCCCAAAAAAAAACAAAACTATTTTGATCATACTATAAATTGTTGTTGTTCTTCTCAAAATGAAAATAAAGAGGTTCAAAGGCACGTTCTTGCCATGATAAATATATCTTATTTGTACAATTAGTAATATGTTTGCAGCTGTGAATTCCTCCAAGTCTTTTGGGTTAGGTAAATACACGGTGCTTTGTTGCAGTACTAGGCGAATAAATTAAACAGGTCTTAGCTGTCGGTTTCTCCGCAATGGTATAACTTCATGCCTCCTTAACATTTCATAGCCATTTTAACAGCTGAGATAAAAGACATATATGTGGCAATATAAACTGCATTTTATGGTATTCATTCAAAAGTAAAAAAGAAAAAACTTTGTCTTATGGTTGCTGCAAACTGACCACATCAACCTCAGGCTAATTTTCCTATGGATTATCTCAATTAACTAAGTGCAAAATGGTTTTACTGTCTCCAATGATATACATGATTGGACGTTCGCAAACTCTGTCAATTTACTTCTGCCATGCCCAACTACCCCCATTTAGATGTCATTTTCACTTCGATTCAATAACTCCCATATCTCCTTAGTTTTTCATAGGCATTTTGACAGCCAAGAAATGGTGTGCTTTATGGTAGCTGCAGAATGGTAAAGTTTTCTTTTAATGTTTGAGCATCCAACTCAAATTAATTGGCAATGGTTGGAGACATCCTCATAGGTATTTTGGTGCTAGGCTTAGAACTAAATGCAAGATATATTCTCAATAGTGTTAAAGTCCGCAGATCAATTTATGATACCTGAGTGAAACATTTCTTTGGTCCCTCCCTTCTAGAGAAAAAGGATATCTATCTTTCATTGTCTATTGGAAACTTCACATTATTTTAATTTACTAGTGAGAATTGAATACAAACAAATTTATAATGCAGGAACGTCAAAATTTTGGTCAGTTGAATGACAATCAAAGGCACAAAGAACGTGAGGAAATCAATGAGATTCTCAGTGTGAGAGAAATTCTTCGCGATGCAAAGCAATGCCCATCTTGTAAGATGGCAATATCACGAACTGAAGGTTGCAACAAGATGGTGTGTAAAAACTGTGGGCAATACTTCTGTTACCGCTGTGATAAGGCAATTGAGGGATATGATCATTTCAGGTTTCTAAATTGATTTAAGTATTTGAGGCTATTCCTATGCTTTATTTGTATGTTCACCAATATGTATATACATATTTTCTGTAGAACTAATTAGCTTTGTATTAATTGAAGAGATGGTGCATGTGAACTGTTCCCGCAAGAAGCAATTCAGAACTGGGAGGCACAGATGAATCCTCGACAGGTTTTGGGTCAGATTCAAGCTGAACTCTTTGCTGCACATGGTCAATTATGCCCTAATTGTGGTCAGTTTAATGCAAAGGTGAGTCAAGACTGGGCCTTGATACAAATCAGATATTCATGGGTTTACTTGATGGTTAATAAGGAAATCCATTGTGTTCTCTTTTTGTTTTTTTCGAAAGTAGTAAATGTTCTTTTTGTCTTTCTGAGGATTTTTGGAGTTGTGTCAATATGATGAATAGAGTTTCTGCCTTTTTTCCATCAGATTGGCAATAACAATCATATGTTCTGCTGGGCATGCCAAAACCACTATTGCTATTTATGCAAGAAGATCGTGAGGCGAAGTTCTCAGCATTATGGACGTAAAGGTTGCAAACAACACACAGCCGGATAGTTGTGAACACAATTACACCCATCTATTCAAAGGAGAAAAACTGTAAACGACAGAGTAACTGTGCACTCAGACTATGCAAGGCAGTTCATGGCACTCTTCTTATTGGCTGCTCCATCTCTGCATTTTTCCCATTGCATTGAAGTTAACAACCTCTACTTCTTTTTTCTGCTCAAATCATTATGTTCTGGCAATGATAGATGTCCATCAGTGTTGTAAAGTTTTAGTGGAAATTAGCCAATACACCAGGGAAATTACAGTTTTGAAATTATTGTAAAGTGAGCTGTGGATAATACAGCCGAAGGCCATTGGTATGATATCAAAGAGCTTTTATGCAGTTGTGTTGAAAAGGCTCGAAGAAGCCTTGAAGGAACACCAAATGAATGAAGCATGAGACTCCTTCATTGATTTTAAAGGGTTGCATGGCTTTCATGAGGATTTTGTTATCCGTAAGCTAATCACTAAATTGTGCTATTCGTCTGACCCTCACTCACTGGCTACTAAAAGCATGTGATATAGTCTTGGTTGTTGTTCTCTATTTTACCCTTTTGACAAACCTATCTCGTCTGCTTCTGCTCTTCTCTCTCTCTCTCTCTCTCTCTCTCTCTCTCATTTTCTGCTAGAACCCAAACGTATATCAACAATCAGTCCCTCCTAAACCCTATCAAATAGAACGTGAGGCGCCATGAGATCTAGGAGGTGGTGCTCGGGATCTGGGCGGGGTGAGGCGCGGTTGGGGGTATAGGGAGAAGATATGTGGTTCAAATAATGTTGACAATATTACTTAGATTTTTCTTCAAAAATACCGACAATTAAAGGAAGGAAATTGTTTCCTCCTCCGAATAAATGAAAAAAATGGTTACAGAATTTGTAGATTCAAGGGCTCGATTCATTAATGTGTCAAGTACAAGCTAATTACAGTGATAGGAATACACTATTATGTTCCAGATACCAAGTGGCTGGTGTACCATCCAATATACATAAGACATGTAGAAATATTTTATTTTTATTTCCTATGAAGATCATTCTACACTAAGTTAATGTTTTATAACCTAACAATCTTGTCTGGTTGATTCAATTATTACGATGAGCTCAAATATGTGGAACCATACTTTTATACCTCTAAAATTGATGTTCGTAACTTTTTCCAGCTTATTTTCTTATTTTTATTTCATTTTTTAAGATAAACAACAACAAAAATAAGAAAAAGGACAAGTGTCACGTAATACAATATGCGCCCTTCTCAGTGGATGCCACGTGTCAATCATTCAATTTAATATGAATTTTCTAGCATTTAACTTCTAAAATTCATAGTAAATACATTAAAAATCTAAAAAAATACACCGAAAATAAATTCCTACGAATTCCTTGTGACATTCTCTTCACCCTAAAGCTTCTAAAACACAAGTTAATGTTCTATAGCTAACAATCTTATTTTGTTGATTCAATGATTACGATGAGCTCAAATTTGTGGAACCATAATTTTAAACCTCTAAACTTGATGGGTTTATCACGAGGAGAGCGTAGCTCTTTTTGGCTTATTGTTCTAATTTTTATTTAATTGTTTATGAATTTTTAAAGATAATCAACAACAAATATAAGAAAATGATAAGTGGCGCCTTTGTAGGATAGCACGAGTCAATAATCCAGTGAGCGCCCCTCTCAACGGATGACAGGTGTCAATCATTCAATTTAATATAAATTTTTCTAGCATTTAACTTCTAAAATTCATAGTAAATACATTAAAAATCTGAAAAAATGCACTGAAAATTCCTACAAACTCCTTGTGACATTATCTTTGCCTTAAAGCTTCGAAAATTTCATTTTCACTTATAAGGATTCAAAGTGACGACAAAACTCGAATTAGTTTTAAAACAAACCAAAATCCAAGTTAATGTTCTATAAGCTAACACTTTTGTTTCTTGATCCAATGATTACCATGAACTCAAAATGTGGAATCATGATTTCGGACCTCTAAAATAAAAGGGTTTGTGATAAGGAGTGTGTAGCTTTTTTTGTTATATTTTTCTGATTTGTATTTAATTTGTTTTATGAATTTTTGAAGATAAACAACAAAAAGTAAGAAAACAGCAGGTGGTGCTATCACTAGATGACACGCGTCACTAACACAGAAGGTGTGCTTGTATTTAGCAGCCACGTGTCAATTAATTTAATTTAATATGAATTTTTCTATCATTTAACTTATAAAGTTCATAGTATATACATTAAAAATCTGAAAAATACACCGAAAATTTCTACCAACTTCTAGTGACATTCTCTTCACCTTAAAGCTTTAAAAATCTTCTTTTGAGTTATAAGATTCAAATTGGCAACAAAAATTCAAATTAGTTTCCAAACAAACAAAAACACAAGTTAATGTTCTATAACATAACACTATTGTTTCTTTGATTCAATAATTATCATGAACACAAATATGTATAATCAAGATTTTAGACCTCTAAAATTGAAGGATTTGTTTTAAGGAGTGCATAGGCTTTTTCAGTGCAATTTTATGATTTTTATTTAATGTTTTATGAATTTTTTAAGATGAACAACAACATAAATAAGAAAAAGGACAAGTGGCACTGTGGCAGGACAACACGCTTTAGTAGTACAGTATGTGTGCCCTTCAGCAGCTGCCACATGTCAGAAATTTCAATTTATTAAATTTTCAACAATTTAACTTCTAAAATTTGTAATAAATACTTTAAAAATCTGAAAAATACACCGAAAATTCTTACGAACTCCTTGTAACATTCTTTTAGCCTTAAAGCTTTGAACATCTTATTTTGATTGATAAAAATTCAAAGTGGCAAGAAAAACTCAAATTAGTTTCTAAACAAACCAAAATACTAGTTAATATTTTATAACTTAACACTTTTGTTTCTTTGATCCAATGATTATGGTGAACTCAAATATATGGAATCATGATTTTAGACCGCTATAATCGAAGGGTTTGTCATTAGGAGTGCACAAATTTTTTCGGTTTTTTTTAAAATTATTTTATTTAATTATTTACGAATTTTTTAAGATGAACAACAACAACAAAAATTTAAAACATGCTATATGGCGCTCTTGGAGGATGACACATGTCAAAAATGCTGTCGTGTCCAAGTGATCCCTGGGATTGGCTTTAGGCCTTTCCTGTGCAGCTTAGGTGAAAGGCGAAGAAGGCCCCCTTCCGGGGGGGCCCGAACCATCAATGAGATACCACTCTAGAAAAGTCATTTTTTACGTTGATGTGGCTTACACATGGATTGGAAAATGTTGCTAAACGAATTGACGTAGTGTGACAATTGATCGGCTGAAACCTTATCCTAAGACATGTAACTCTGGAATCCACAAGAAAATATGAGAGAACCTCAAATTTATTTGATAAACTGGAATAACCAAAAAAACTTTAACCACGGGTAAGATATGTTTAAATACTTCTAGAAACCCTAATAATTAACAAAGGAATTGAAATAGGAAAATAAAAAAGTTTCCAAAAACTATAAAAACTTTAAAACTGAATTTCGGACTAGTAAACGATCTCGGATGCCCGAAAAAGCCTACATGCTCTCTTTGAATCGATGAGTCTTGGGCCCAGTTCTGAGCTCGGAGCCCAAATCTGCAGCTTACCCGATTTTCCTTTGCGCTCACGTTGCTCCAGCTCCTCTTCAATTGCTTCCGCCATCTGTTCTACATCATGAACCCTGAAATTAACTGAGTACACCCTAATATTTTAATCAAAATATAAAATTAACCAGGTGATTATTACTTTACGATCATTGGTTGCATCCTGAATTCTAGCCACGTCATTATCCACATTACCATTTATATCTGTACAATCATTGCTTTGAAACAATATTTGTTGCTTCCTTTGGATCCCCCAACTCTACCCGTCTAAATGGCTCATATATTTTTCCATTTTGTTTTGCATTTTTTGTTCATCGTCAGTGGGGCGCTTTTTACTAACCATCTCCAAACATTTAGGTTTACGCCCATTCTTTAAGAGAGAAAGGACGGGTTAAGAAAACCTCACTTGCACTCAATTTTCTTCTACTTTGTTAGCCATTTATTGACATGGTCAATTACTTTTAGATGTAGAATCACCATTTAGAGCTTAGGTTTAGGTTTTAGTCTTGGATTATTTTGTCGTTTAGATTTTAGGTTTTAAGTATCACATTTCGAAAGGGTCATTCTATACCCCGAAGAACTAGCCCTGTCACTATAATGGAATAAAGTTGAAAAAAGTTGAGCATACATGAGATTTTCTTGATGCGGCCATCCTTTAAGAAAAAACAGACATCCTGCCGAGAGAATTTGATGTATATTATATGTATGTGTATGTATTTATATAAATATGTGTCATATGTATGTATATAGATCTTTAAAACGAATGCTTAATGAAGTTTGTTTATTTACTTACTGGTATTATCTATTTATAGGAGCTTTTTCCCCTGATCATGTGTGTGATTAAGCACCATCCAGATAACAACACTTGAGATTCCTTGACTCACGCATTGTTTAATCTAATCAAACCTCCAGATGACTAACAAAAAAGAATGATAATGGATGTAGGATGTTAGTCGAAGTACTACATTTATTTGTTATATAGCTGCTTTGTTTTTGACTTGTTCCTGAATCTTCTAATTGGATTTCAGGCATCTGTTACCCTTGCTAAGAATGTAGGAGAGATAAGAACAAAAACAAAATGCCTATTTCTCCCACCCCCAATCCATCATCCGTATTCTCAAAGAATGCCCTCATCCTTCTTGATTTCTCTGTAAGCTATAATGACTGCACATAAGTAGAACACATATCTTTGGTCTTTCATTAGAGTTGCCAAAAATATCAAGAATATCATCTCCCCAATCCGATCCCTCATACGCTTATTTTAGATGGGGTGAATACCTTTTGTGGGGGTTGACTTGATTGGTTGAGTAGGGGCACTTGTATTTATTTGCATATATCTAAGAGTCTTGCCCATCAAGAATCTCTTAAGAAGTCCTTATTGTATTAGGTTTATAACTTCTAATCCACAATTAAATAGGAATCCTTTTAGCTATTGTATTATCCTTAAAATACTAGCTTTAATAGAGTTGTAAGTTTAGTTGTATTTGAACTCCTAATTGATATCAAGTCTTAGAATCCTTTGATGATTATAAGACTAGAATCCTTTGATGATTATTAGACTATACTTCAATGGGTTAGACATCTCTATGTCTAACAGTCTCCCACTTGGTCTAATGATCATCAAGAACTCAATATCAATTACTGTAAGGCCTTTGGAATTCAACTCAACTATAATTCCTAATCAAGTCACTGTTGTTTTCACCATAATCAACCGAGCATATCCAGCCTCAAAACAACTAGCACCAAGGTAGACACGTCTTCTCTCCTGCCGAAGGAAGACACTCTTCCGAGGTGCCAAGCACTTGTCGAAACTCCCGACTGCCAAAGCTCACAAACTGCTAAACCTAATTCCCATGACACGTGTCACCACCGCAGCGACTTGCACGAAGTCCCACATCGGAAATCTACACCAACCTCCCACTTTCACTTCCCTATAAAAAGGGAACAGTACCCTAGTAAGAGGGGTAACTACTTTTCTGCTTTTTAGTATTACTCTGCAAAAGTTACCCTTCTTAGCTGACTTAAGCATCGGAGAGCCTTCGGCCGGCACCACACCGGTGCCCGGAGCTTAACGACTGCTTCCCCTATTTTTGTCTTCTTCAGTCTAGCCTTTATTGAACGCCCAGACCCTTTCCCTGCTGAAGGCAAACCCCTTTTTCTCTAAGTTGACCCTCTCCGAAAAAGAGCATCAACAACTGTCAATCAAAAGAACAAGCATCATCATTGTCAATTCAACTATCAAGACTTATTGAACATTTCAATATTTCAAGATCTTTATAATTACACATACAAGCTCTCAAGATCACATGAGGCTTCCGTCAAGACAAGAATGCAAAATGATCATGACCAAACTTAATCTTGTGGCTAATTGCTTGTAGTTCTCCTTATTCATTATGATTACCTAGGGGAAGAAAAACATGTGTAAAAAGAAGAAGACAGTAGAGTAAGCTTAAGACATCAAATGTACAGTTTGTTCATAGCTAGCTCAACTCTGTTTCTTTCCTTTTTTTTTCTTTTTTTTTCCCTTCTGCTTTCCTATATAAAGGCACACAATGCAACAATTAGAGCAAGCTCTTTGATTCTTTGGAGTGCCCTCAAATCCTCACATACTCCTTAGTTAAAAGAGCTTCACCCCCAGAATGGCAGCCCCTGATGCTTTCCTCTTGGCCTCTGTTTTTGGCGTTCTATGTACACTAGCTACTTAGTTCTTCTACCTCCTCTAACCAACACACCACAACCCCCCCCCTTCTCCTCCTCTCTGTATTAATAATTGGGTTCCTTTTTCTTTTCAATTTTCGCTTGGTTTTCAATTCTAAATTCTCTCTCTCTCTCTCTCTCTCTCTCTCTCTCTCTCTCTCTCTCTCATGCACATATGGGATTGCATGCATCGTCTGTAATTGTTGTCTAACTTTTTGCTTGAGCTTGGATTGTTTCAATTTCTTTAGAATTTACACTTTTCAAGATTGGTTATATACTGCAGCGCCAAAATGGAAGGACCCATGAGGAAATGGAGGGACAGAGTTCTGAGGGTTGGGTTTGGTTGAATGGGCAGTGATTTTTTAACGTTAATTTTGACGGAAATTAACTAGAAGGACCATTTTGATGGGTAGATGATAACTTGAAGGACTATTAGTGTCACAAAAAAACCTGAAGAACGATTTATGACAATTTTGTAAACCTGAAGGACCATTTGTAATAAAAAGCCAAAATTAAAAGGGAGTTTCACTAAAACACCCAAAATGGAAGTTGAATTTATAAAAAAATCCAACACCCAAAACACTTTATAAACACACCCAAAATCCATCATTACACACACTCAAAACCCATTTATAAACACACCCAGAAAGTTGACTTTGGGGTTGATTTTGGGTGTGTTTCTATGTTTCAATAGTGCTTGGGTTTTTTTTATAAATACATGTCTAAGATTGGGTTTATTTATAAATTTGTATATTTTAATTTTACAAATTTATAAATAAACCCAATCCTAGACATGTATTTATAAAAAAACCCAAGCACTATTTAAACATAGAAACACACCCAAAATCAACCCCAAAGTCAACTTTTGGGTGTGTTTATAAATGGGTTTTGAGTGTGTGTAATGATGAGTTTTGGGTGTGTTTATATGTTTAAATAGTGCTTGAGTTTTTTTATAATTTCAGCCCTTATTTTGGGTGTTTTAGTGAAACTCCCATTAAAATATTGAATATAAATGAAGGCCAAGGGCCGAAGAAAACAAAGGCCCTAAACATCACAATCGTGTGAAGCCCAATAGAAATGCCCAAGTGCTGCCAAAGCAACATCGGCTTTCAAACTCAAAAGGCAACAGATGCAGAATTGTTTTGGTGGCTTTGATACACGTGGTTGATGGTGCGCTACTTATTTTTGCGTAACAGGCATTGACAGTTGCCAATGAAGCTGAAGGACCCAAAGCAGCCATGGCTTCCTTCCTCACACTGCAAGCTTAAATCTGATTCTATCTCAAGCCCTCAACCCTGAAACCCTTCTTTCCAGTTTTCTCTTTGCTCTCTAACTGTAAGTTTGCCCAACTTCCTCTTGCTCTCTCTCTCTCTCTCTCTCCCTCTCTACGGATGTCCCTGCTTCTGAAAATAAAACCCAATGAATTGCTGCTTTTCTCATTTCTTGATTCAGTTTGCTTCTTTATTTATGTGGGTTTTGTTTGTCTGTATAGATTTCGAGTGGGTTTTGGTTCTTTACTGTTTTGCCCCAACTGATTTTCAATACATGTGGATGTTTATAGTAAAATAATTATTGATATTTTAGCTATTTAACTTGTTTGAATTTGAAGTGCAGCTTATTTGATTGGGCTAGGAAAATCGACAAAGAAGATTAAGAGAAGCAATAGGCTACTTCCAGCTCCTCTGCTGGCTGCAGCAGCTGCAAGTGCAAGGTAGGTTCTTTTCTTCTTTCTTCTCCTTCTCCTGAATCAAAGATTCAAGAAAGTTGAAAGATGAAACCCTATCCCCGTTTAAATTTCTTTGTAGAACCAGGAAGGAGAAGAGGCGGCTATGGCTGAAAATGAACTTTTGAAAATAACTCTTTCATCCCAAATTTATTAAAACTTCCGTCATCCAATGCATTAGGAAGAGGAGTGGTATTTAGATTGAGTGAAGTGGACGAACTCCTTACACCTCTGCTCCTCAATTTCAGTTATGATGGTTTTTTTGTTCCTTAACTAGACCTCAAGTGTTTGGGAAATAAGAAAAATGAAAACCAACAAGAATTATGCTGAATGATTTTGTGCTTGCTGTTCCTAGTGTTATGTTTCAATACACTTCATCATCTTCTTGCTCAAACATTCAATTTTATTCTCTATTTGCATATTTTAGTGATTTGTTACTTCTGTTAAAATATTCAATATTTATTGTGTCTTTTTTAGGGTAGATGACTACTCCCCGACTATCATACCTTCCTGGTCACATTTTAGTTCTTAATTGATGTAAAAAAATATAGAATTTTGATTTCTAGCCCGGGCGGGGCCGTAATCATCAAATTGGGCTCAGCAAAAGAAAAGAGTGACATAGAGATACAGAGAGAAAGAAATGGAGGAGTGCTCAACTGGGGCTCTAGTCCCGGCGGTGAAACCAGAACCAAAGCCGTCAAGCATCGAGGCTTCGGCTGATCCAGGGAGCAATGACGTGGATCGTCCAACTCATGAGAAAGGATTGACGGAGGTGGACAAGGACTTGTTGTGTCCAATTTGCATGCAGCTGGTAAAGGATGCCTTCCTCACAGCATGTGGTCACAGCTTCTGCTACATGTGCATCATTACCCATCTCCGCAACAAGAGTGACTGCCCTTGCTGCGGCCAGTTCCTCAGCACCAACCAATTGTTCCCCAATTTCCTGCTGGATAAGGTCCCCTCTCAAATTCCTACTCCTTAAAGATGAAAAATGATATACTTGGAACTGCAGCTTACTGTGATATGGAATGTACTGTAGCTTCTGAAGAAGGCATCGGCTCGTCAAATTTCCAAAAGTGCGTCCCCTGTGGAGCATTTTCGTCAGGCATTGCAACAGGTGAGTCTAACTGTCCGAGTCAAGTAAATATAATATGCATTGTTATTTGTTGTGTGAATGTGGCGCTTTGCTGTGATAGGGATGTGAAGTGTCCATCAAGGAGCTAGACACCCTGTTGACACTCCTGGCAGAGAAGAAGAGGAAAATGGAACAAGAAGAGGCAGAGAGAAATATGCAAATACTGCTTGACTTCTTGAATTGCCTAAGGAAGCAAAAAGTTGAAGAGCTTAATGAGGTTTCTTCATGTTTTTCTTTGGGTTATGCTAAACATATCTGACTTAATTGAATTGAATGGCTTACATTATGGATTCAATGTAGGTGCAAACCCATCTTCAATTTATTAAAGAGGACATAGGTGCAGTAGAGAGACGCAGAATGGACTTGTACCGTGCGAGGGACAGATACTCCGTCAAGCTGCGGATGCTTGGAGGGGATGATTCTATTTCTGGTGCAAGAAAGTCATGGCCTTCCTCCATAGATAACAATACCAGTTCTCTCAGTGGGCGAGCAGGGATGTCTTCATGGAATCTTCAATCTAAGAAACTTGATGGCTGGGGACTTCAGAAAAAGGATGCTTTAAGTGCATCAGACTCCCAGTATATGACTCAATCTGGTCTTGCTGTAGCCAGAAAGAAGCGGGTCCATGCACAGGTCTGTGAGAGTCCTTTCATGTGAATTGTAGACTAACTTTGCACTTTGCGTATTTCTATCTTTTAATAAATATACTTGTACCTCGTGGCCATTACTAGTATTCTGAACAATTTGACATTAGATGATGGGTAAAATGGTACTGCCCTATTATCCAAACCTATTCCTTTATTTGGTCCTCAACAAAAGCCACCTCAATTGTACTTTACAAATGCATAAATATCTGTCAACTTGGCATGAAATCGGAACTTATATTGGGTTTTGGTTATAGGGTTCCTGGACTTTACTCGAGTTTACGTTTATTTTTATTGGTACTTGATTTTAAGGTAAGACAGACCCTGAACCTTCTTTTTATTGTTGTCTTGATTTATTCTCATTCCATCTCTGGCTGTAGTTTGATGAACTACAAGAGTGTTACCTGCAAAAACGACGCCAGATGGCGAACCAACCATATATCCAGCAAGAACGGGACAAAAATGTGATACAAAGAGAAGGTTACACTACGGGCCTTGCTGATTTTCAATCAGTGCTTACCACGTTAACGCGGTATAGGTATGATAACCAGATATTGGATTCCTTTACAGAAATATTTATTTTTGGTCAATTCACAGAGATATAATTTTTTAATTAACCATATCACCATGTTTCATCCTTTTTTTTTTTTTTTTTTTTTTTTTATTAACAGACGGATGAGGGTCATTGCTGAACTTAGGCATGGGGATCTATTTCACCCAGCCAATATAGTATCAAGGTGATTAGTGAATATTGCATATCATGTCTAACTTTTCAGAATGAAACATATTGATATTTAAAATGAACTACTCTCTCTCTCTCTCTGTTCTTTTGAGAACCTCATAGATTTGTTGACATTCATTGCAGCATTGAATTTGACCGTGATTATGAATTGTTCGCTACTGCTGGGGTTTCACGGTGCATAAAAGTTTTCGACTTCTCCTCAGTACGTACTTGATTTTAATGTTCTTTTTACCATTACTTTCAGCAACAATGGTTGTCTATCAGCAAAAAGAATGTGTTCAGCATAGTCAAACATTAAAAGAAAAGGGTGGAGAGATAAGATTTTGTTGTTTGAATGGCTTCATCTCATCTAATTTGACTGTGTTTTTCCACCCATACTCCATGTTAAATTCTTAATTTTTTTTCAACAAAGCTGCCAAATTGCCTTTAGTCTTTGTTCGTTTGAAAGCCTTCAGCTCACATAAGAATGTGGTTTTTACATAAGTTTATTGTATCGTCATAAATAAACAAATAGAAAATTTAAATTAAGTGTAGTGAGAAGTTAATTAACCATTCATCAAACTTGTTCATGCTCAACAAATATAGCCAATTTGAAGGAAACTACATAACAATCTTGTATGGTCTTGCGAAAATGTATCATAGTTTATGCTCTCTTTCACAACTCTATCAAGAATATTTGTTGATGGTCAGACACAAAATCCTTTACTAACCTTCCAAATTCTTATACTCTAGTATTGGGATGGGCAAAGGACACCCATTAGGTGTTAGAGATGTGGTGGTGGTAGTGGTAGTGGAAGTGGCAATGGTTTTGAATACCCAGGGTATCCGTTGCCCATCCCTACTCTAGTCTATGAGGCACACAAAATTAAAAGTATAAATTCAAACATCGAATCTGAATAGCAAGTAATATTAAGCGCTGACAAATATTGAGTTAATCAGACTAGGGCTTTCTCTCAGCTAAGAGATTAGAAGTTTAGAACCCCATGACAAAAAAAATAATGGGTCTTTCTATGAGGAACCACTCTGAAGCTAAAAACACCAAGCTACCAATCTGCCGTCTCTATGCAAGTCTATCTGCTGCCAAAGTGTCCTTTTTATAGTGAAAATCTTTTTTGTCAAGTAGGATTCCTGATGCAGTATGCTTTTCTGTCAGTCTCCAATATTTCACGTCAAAGTCAAGCTCATGTCCAACACCTATTGTAGAAGCAACAATTCCATTGCTTTCTTTCTTTTTTCAGTCATACCTCTTCTCCCAATTGAATTAGGAAAAGTCAGGCCCAGCTGTACTATTTACTTCCAGTCCTGATTTTCAACTTAGAATGAGTAAAAATTTAATAAGATTGAAACTAGGAACACAAATCACAAGGTCCTGGTTTCTATTTTTTTGTTGTTAATTGAGGAAATAATTGAGCAAGAGAAGTATTAAAAAAGGAAGAAAAGCTGTGGGCTCTACTTCAGTATTAGTATAATTTCTTGTAATTGGCTCCTTTTTAATTGTTTCATTTACATGAGCCATACACCTATAAAGAACAAAAGTTTATCACCTATAAAAATTAGCTCTCCAATTACAAAAAATAAAATATTAACAAGCTCTTCAATTAAATAAAATAAGATACTACCAAATATTATGCGTCTGTCCATCAGCATTTTGTACGCCTGCAATTATTAGGGTTTCAAATAAATGAAGCATTGCATGACAAACATTGGCCCAAACCTGGCATGTTTCTGCTAATGAACTTAGGATACTGGGACACCATGTAATTTCTTCAACTTTAAGTAAATTGATTTACTTTATAATTAAACATGCAATATGTCCTTCCACTTATCCAAATGTACTTCAAAAGTTTACTTGGGTTGGTATCAATGTATTTCTGTCACCTTGACCTGTGATATTAGATCAGTTTACTTTTGTCCCATTTGACTTTAAGTTCAGTAAGTGTAAACCACTTAACGGTGGAAATATTGCAATTGTTGACATGAATCTTCTTGTGGTTTTGTCGAAGCCAGTCTTGAACAGTTTTGAACGATTAAAGAGTCTCTTGCAATCACATACTCAATGTGATGTTCTAGTGCCTGCATGTGTCTGTGTCTACTTTTTTCTTTTTGGGGAGTGGGTTGGCAATTTAAGTACACTCTTGACTTATGAAGTTTATGAAACCAGCCAATCAATTAATGATGATCACTGCTCATTGACTACCCTTTTTGGGATTTGGAAGTATTGATGTTGATTGTTTATGCTATTTCTTTCCAGGTTGTGAATGATCCAGCTGATGTGCATTGTCCTGTTGTGGAGATGCCTACACGTTCAAAGCTTAGTTGCTTGAGCTGGAACAAGTTTACAAAAAACCATATAGCTAGTACTGATTATGAGGGAATAGTAACAGTTTGGGATGTAAATACTCGGCAAGTATGTGATGTTATTTACACATTCTGATTTTTGTGCATGATTTGAATTTATATACTTATTGACTCAACCTTCAATTTTTGTTGCTCATGCTTAAATTTTGTGACAGAGTGTCATGGAATATGAAGAGCATGAAAAACGTGCTTGGAGTGTTGATTTTTCATGCACAGAGCCCACAAGGCTTGTATCTGGTAGTGATGATTGTAAGGTACTCTCAGAATCTTTATATCTAAACCAAGTCTTGTATTGTGCTTAGGTGATCCGAAATGTAACGTAGTGCCTGTTTCCTTTTGGAAAAGCAAAGAACATGATGCTGCGTGCACTATTCTGTTTCTATTATTAAATCAGTAGTAAGATATTTATGAACAAACCTCGAGGGGGAAAAATGCTATACTCACTATTTGCAAGTGAATATTCCTAGTGGGTATAATCAAGATGTTGTTAACCATGCTACTAATTTTGTTGTATGCTTGACTTAAGGCTGGGTGGTTTAGGCTACCAAAATACGTGATGTGTGCCTGTATCTGGTCACTTTATGCAAGTTTGCATATACGGGAGGCTAAATTGATGCATTATGGGTGTAGTATCAATAACTCAGTTGTCGTATTTCAGCCGGGGGAAAATAAATATGTTAATTTTGCACGAAAAAAATTAATGGATTCAGCGCAATATTGTTATGTCCTTGTGTAATTTGACTTTGCATATTGGTTGTGGAATTTTTTAGTATGTTTTAGCAATGCCAATAATTGTGGTGTATGCTTGAGTTGAGGTTTGGCTTGTTTAGGCTTGTTTAGGCTCACAATACTTGTGCTTTCAGCTGTTTTGGTGCTCAAGGAAGGTTCATTGAAGACTAACTATGCTGTTCTCTATTCTCTGTATAACAAGCAGGTAAAAGTTTGGTGCACAAGGCAGGAAACTAGTGTTCTTGATATTGACATGAAAGCGAACATTTGTTGTGTAAAGTATAATCCTGGATCTAGCAACTGCATTGCGGTATGCTTCTTTCATTACCAATATTGGAGAAAACTTATGGCACCAGCGTTTTCTGCTTTTGTGTGTGGTCATGTTTAATACTAGATAATTTGAGTGCAACAAGTGCTTTACTCGGTTAATACGAAGTAATATACTGTGCCTGAGAAATCATTCTTATGGTATATGCACTGGACCAACATGCCTTCAGCAGGCATGTATATGTGTTAATGTGTGCGTGCACTTATCAGTTAAGTTTTGCTTTGTCATCCTGTTATGGGTGGGGTATGTGGTGTATAAAATATCATATCCAGGATATGTCCTGTTAATATTTCTTGGGAACTTAGCACAGTTCAGACTTACAGTACTGTGTTAGTGATAATTTGTATTTTTCAAATATCAAAGAGGGGCTCCTCTTTGCATCAATGTCAGGATGCCAATTTGTGAAAATCAGGAGGTATACCTGCCGTATGTTATCCAAACTTGTCCTAAGCATAGAAGAATATTATTTTAAAGTTTCAGTGCTAATTTTCTCTTATGATGTTTCCGTCAAATAAAGCCTCAACTCTTTCTCCTTCTGCCTTTTACAGGTTGGTTCAGCAGACCATCACATCCACTATTATGATTTAAGAAATCCGAGCCAACCACTCCATGTGTTCACCGGGCACAAGAAAGCTGTTTCTTATGTGAAATTCTTGTCAAACTATGAGCTTGCCTCTGCATCCACTGATAGCACATTGCGGTTATGGAATGTGAAGGAAAATATTCCAGTAAGTGATGAAACAAAGTGGGTTTTAGTACACTTTAATAGTTAACAAGTTATTTTATGTAATCTACCTGGAAAAGTAAAACCAAAAGAGAAAACAAGAAAAGAATGGAATTGTTGACATTATGTTATGAAACTTATTTTATGGATTAAGTTAAGTTGTACTGATCTTTTGTTTTTTGGTTAAAGGTTCGTACGTTTAAAGGTCACACAAATGAGAAGAACTTCGTAGGTCTTACAGTAAACGGGGAATACATTGCTTGTGGCAGTGAAACGAATGAAGTGTTTGTGTATCATAAGGTTGCTGGCATTCAAAATAACCCATCTCAGCTCTTTCTTACCTAGTGATTATCTAAACTTTTAGTATGATTTGCAGGAAATCTCCAAACCTGTGACTTGGCATAGATTTGGATCGCCTGATTTGGATGACACCGATGATGATGCAGGGTCTTACTTCATCAGTGCTGTATGTTGGAAGAGTGATAGCCCTACCATGCTAACTGCTAACAGTCAGGGAACCATTAAAGTGCTGGTTCTTGCTGCTTAAACAACTAAATGGAGACTGAAAGAAGGTTTCATGAGAGAGAACGCTGTTGCCATTGTTGAATATAATGGTGGTTGTTTTGTATATGTTATTGAAGTGTAAATGCTAGGTTTGAGATGCAATGTCATTATTTGTAGTCGCATAAATAATACCAATGTACCAAAGAAAGTGAATATAGAGCATTGATTATTCAGTGGATTCCCATTGAGGGGTTCAATCCAGCAGTCCAATAATAATTCTGCACTAGATGCTATTAAGAAACCTTACTTTTACCCTTCATTATAGGCCGATTCCCATTTACCTTCTCTTGTAGGCATGTGTGCCGCCCTTGGGTTTCTTTAGTTGGTTTTAGTTCTACTTTGGGGTATTGTATTTCTTTTTTCATTGTACACAAAAAGATCAAAAACCATATGGGCTTGTTTGGTATGTCGGACTATGCTGACTAATCAAAGAAACGTCAAGGAAAGTGGCGACTCAACCTCACTAAGCACTCAATATACATATATAATGAGAGTTTCAGTTAATTGATTATTTGAGGGACACCCTTGTAGGATCCATCTTGCATTGTATTTCAATGATCCAATTTATTTTTTAAGAATTCATTCAAAGATCATCTTTACAAAAGATCACTTAATTTGAATTCATTTGATCGCTCAATTAGATGATTGTTATTTTAGTATTTGAATCGTTCGAATAAAATTCGCAGGGGAATTAAAGTTGTCATTCAAATAAAATTATTTGAAGATCTCTCAATAGAAAGAGAACGTGCATATAAAGTAGCGCTGAAGCACAAACCACTCGTTTTGCCCACTTCACATTCTATTTTGTGATTCGAACCGTTTCAGATCTTTATTGAAAAATTCTCACAAAATTTTATGAAATTTTGCAAGGATTATGTTTGAATTAGGACCTAAAAATTGAACTTAAGACACTTTTTCTCCTTCTTCACTATAATACCCAAATCTGTAACCCTAAGTCCCCGACATCGCAGTCTCCCTCTCTCCTCCGGGCAATTTCTGCGTCATTGAGCTTCGTTCCTTCTCGAAACGTTCCCGAGGGGTCTCAGTCTCAGTTTCAGTGAAGAGGCCAAGATTCATCACAATTGAATCTGAAAGTCTCTTAAAATCCCAAAAGGAATGGAAGGATTAGAACAATGGAAGGTGCTGGGAGAACAATGGAAGAAACAGGCAGAGAAATGGTCGTCGCAAGCCCTTGAACGCATTCAGGCAGAGAAATGGTCGTCTCAAGCCCTCGAATACATTCATCAGGTTCCACCTGAGCAGATTTATGCTGCTATCGCCATCTTGATATTCACATCATTTTTACTCATATTGGGTATGAATTTTTTGTCATTTTATTTATTTATTTGGTTAAATATTATATTTTATTTGTAATTACTCTGATATATTCTCTTCATATCTTTTGTGTTGTAGTTAGGTTGTTTAAACGCCCAAAAGCTAATACCATACTGCTGAGTGGGCTTAGCGGGAGTGGGAAGACTCTTCTTTTCTATCAAGTAAGCTCTGGCATTGTTGGATTTTGTTCTTCTTAGGCCAATTAAGAAGTTAGATTTTTGTGCAAGCTTTCTGCTAATTGGTTTTGCATATGGATAGAAATTCTATGCGTTTTATTAAAAATTTTGTAAGACGGTCTCAAGTTATTAAAAAATTTCTCTTGGTTCTTTTGCTTATGCTGTTTATTTTTCTTTTCTGATATAATTGAAATTCTATTCCTGTTTGTGATAAGATTTTGTTTGATGCTTAGAAAATAGTATTTGGGTAGAAATTCTAAATGCCTTTTATTAAGGAAGTCCTTTGGGTAGAAATTCACCGATTTGAGTTTCTTCTATGATCACATTGTAAGACAGTCTCGAGTTATTAAAAATACTGTGTTGGTTCTTTTGTTATGTTGTATCTTTTTTTCTTTTTTCTGATATATTGTAAAACTCTATGTCTGTCTGTTTGTGATAAGATTTTGTTTAATGCTTGGAAAATAGTATTTGGGTATAAATTTTAAATGCCTTTTATTAAGTCCGTCCATTTTTCCCCTTGTTTTGAGTATCTTTGATGATCTAGTTATGCCATAGCAATGTTGATCTAACTTTTGCGACATGATTTGATGTATATGCCAGCTTCGGGATGGCTCTTCTCATCAAGGTACTGTCACATCTATGGAACCAAATGAGGGAACTTTTGTGCTCCATTCTGAAAAATCCAAGGTATATCTCAGCCTCTTGTGCTAATATGCAAGTAATCAATGTTTAAAAAACTATGGCTTGTTAAATGAGGGCAGATCTAACTTATCTGCCTTCTATGCGTAGAAGATGTTAGCCACAAACATTTTCTTCCTTTTCTTTTTTACTATGTTCTTGTTTATTGTCCTTCAAGAACTTAATCATGCTCACCCTTCTTTTGGTTGTCACTGACAGAATGGAAAGGTAAATCCTGTTCATCTTGTTGATGTCCCTGGGCATTCTCGCCTTAGAGCCAAACTAGATGATTTCCTACCTCAAGCAGCAGGTATAGTATTTGTGGTTGATGCTTTGGAGTTCTTACCAAATTGCCGTGCTGCTTCAGAGTAAGATTTTCCCTTTCAGTAAAAAGCTACAATATGATATTGAAACGTAACTATTCTGCTTGCCATATTTTCTTACATCTATGTCACATGTGGTGGTAAAGGGTGCCAGCCCTACTGGTCTAAGGCCACAGAGTGATAAAAATACTTGTAAAAAATAGAGGAACCCTGATTTTGTGATGTAAACATACGTAGATGCATGATTTGCACCCAACATAAGATTTTCACTAATAAGGACTGATCTTTGGCGTTTTGTTTGCAACAGGTACTTATATGATATTTTGACCAAGGCTAGTGTGGTGAGGAAGAAAATTCCAGTTCTTATTCTCTGCAACAAGACAGACAAAGTGACAGCACATAGCAAGGAATTTATTCGAAAACAGTTGGAGAAGGAAATGTAAGATTTGATTTCTTCTGACTATAGGTGTCTAATCTCTGATTGATTATAAAGTTTTACTTTAAGTTTTTCAGTGGTGTGTACGGGATTATATTAATTGTTAGTTTATATGCACTTGAAAATTATATCATGCATCTTCACTTTTTGATAAGAAGTATCTTATATCTTCATGGTTCATGAGGAAGATATATTATCGTGATAACATCCATGTTTTCCATAAATATATTGCTTGCATTGTTCATTCGCTCTAGAGTTCTCTGTGATATTGTGATTTATATTCATCTGTTATATAGTGATTCATATTCATCTGTTTCTGATTTATGTATATATTTCATTGTTCATTATCTTGATACATTTGTCATACAACATCTTACAGTGACAAATTACGAGCATCAAGAAGTGCAATATCAGCAGCTGATATTGCAAATGACTTTACACTTGGAGTACCTGGCGAACCATTTTCATTCCATCAGTGCCAGAACAAAGTTACGGTTGCAGAAGCATCTGGTCTAACAGGTGACGTATCCCAGGTGGAGCAATTTATTAGGGACCATGTGAAGTCTTAGTATGTTTCCTCCCATTTCATGAGTGTGGTATTTTTGCTTTGAGAATTGTCGGTTGAACATCGTTTGTTGATGATTGAGAAAACTCAACAAAGATATGCTCAGAACCAATTGAACTGTTCAAGGAAAGTGGAGGAATAAAAATAGAGGAAGAGAAAGCAAGGCACAGATACACTAATGCATGTTTCTGTTGTGGTCTCAGTGAGTACTTGAGACATGGTATGGTACAAACTGCTAATTATGGTGGCTTTGTTGTAATTTAAAGGATCTTCCAAGAGATTATGGCTTAAGTTGTATTAATTTGATTTTTGTGCTCTTGATTGTGTTTGCACTCTAGGATGTCCCCAGTTATGGTCAGCCCTAAATATTTACTCATCGACTTGTCCTCCACACAAATGTTTAATTCTGCAGTAAAATGTGAAAAGTTCATCCCTGTTTAGTTTGATTTAAGTTAGTCATTCCTATTTTGTAACATACACAACAAAGTTGAAATAATGCAAGTTAGTCGGTCTCAATAAACATTCTATTGTTTTCCTTAATTAACAATTAAGTAAATTTTTTTATTGTAAGGGCCAGTTTGGGATTGCTGTGCTGTGAAAATAATTACTTTCGGATTTGCAGTAAGAGAAATCAGCTGTAAATGAAAGTAGTTTGGCGTTTGGTAAACTTTATATTGAAAGTGATTTTGATACAAAAATCAATTTAAAAATGTTTGGTAAATGTTTGTGTAAAATAGCTATGAGTTGTGAAAATGACTAAAAGGACATTATGTTGAAATATGTTTTTTATTCAAGTGTATGGTATTATATATATACAGTCCCCTTCTATTGAGGGATCCCTCAAATAATTTTATTTGAGGGACGCCTTTTAGGGTACTCTATCATTCATAGATCATCCTTACAAAAAATTAGATAAATTGGAAACCGTTTCGACATCCAATTGTGTCCTACAAAATCAATGAACACAGTGCTTCAAGAAAGTACTAAAATTTCAATAACTCAATTGAATGGTCAAATGATATCGGATTCAAGTGAATTTTTGTAGAGATGATCTTTGAATGTGTATCTACAAAATAGACGGTTTGGATTAGTGAAATACAATCTAGAGTGGGCCCTACAAGGGGTGTCCCTCAAATAAGCTTATTTGAGGGATCCCTCAATGGAAGCTCTCTGTATATATATATATATATATATATATATATATAATAGTCGCACTTCTTTTTCTTCCTTTTTTTGCCAGAACATTGTCACTTTCAAGTATGCAAATCTTTTATTAAATTTTTTTGTTGAGAGACACCCTAAATAAAATAACATTAAAAAATTAAAACAAAATTAACTCACCCGCTCTACACCCCTCTTCTTGCCAGCCCACCCTTCCACATATCCACCCTGATCTTAACAATCAACACCCTGAAAAGCTCCCACACAGTCAACAACGTCAAAGTCAAGATCCAACACAAGGAGAGTATTCTGCCAAACCAATAGAGGTCTATCTTTGCTCGCAAGCAGCTCCAGGATGGCTGCACCATCGCCGAGTACAACATCCAAAAATAATCCACTCCCCACCTTGTGCTCTGACTTCGTGGCAGATAGATAGAGTTACCTCTCGTGGGAGTATGTACTAAAAAAATGAAAATGGGAGGAGTTGGAATGGGTTGCTTTATCAAAACATTCCCTGGAGGTCAGAGTCGGTTTATTAGATATGGAGGCTCTGTGCGAAGAAAGCTGATGATGTCCTATATGTATACGTTAAGAATAATGCTACTCTTACTACATTTGTATACCACATTCTCATATCACCTTATGTGGCAGATGAGGTGACACATCAATTAAAATTAATTTAAAGTTTTCTTATCTTTTATGATTTATTGACACTTTTTAATTGATGTGATTGTCCACTTCATCTGCCACATAAGGTGGTATGAAAATGTGGGATATAAATGTGGTAAGTGTAGCATTACTCATAAGTTAAACAACAATTTTTCAAATTTTAAAATTCATAAATCATAAATTAAACCGAAATATGTGGCATCAATTACATTAGGACCCACAAATAGAATCAAGATCATCCTTCATCTATTTTCACATACTCACATCCATTCAATTTTCTTTTACATACAAAAAAACTGCACATACCCACAAATATAATATAATGTTGGGCTTTTAAAAATATTTGGAGGCTCTTAAATTTTAGGGGCCCTATGCGGTCGCACAGCCCGCACATGCCATGGGCCGACTTTGCTGGAGGTTTGAGAGGTTTTCACCTTGCAACGTTGTGAGAAGAATGAGATGGTCTATGTGGGAAGAAGATGAGGGATAGTTGGAACGTGCTTGGGTGGAAGAAGATGAGGGACAGATGATGTAAATTAGAAAAGTTAACAAGGATATTAAAGGCAATTCATTAAAATTCATTAAACAACCCGGTTCCTTGTTTAGCTTTTCGTGAAAGCTGAAATAAAATTAGCCCTTAAGCTGCTTTCTAAAATCACGATCGCTGACAGCTATTTTATCCCAAAAGTGATTATCTCGCATTTTACCAAACAATGTGAACTTCAATAACTTTATCAAAATTCACTTTTTAGCCCAAATAATCAATGCTAAACGGGCACTAAATTGAACAACAGTAGATGATAAAACTTCTTGCCACTGGAAGATTGATAAATTTTGATAGAGATGATGTCATTTGTAATGGGTTTGTATCAATATATTGATGAAATATAATAGTAAATGGTGATAATAGATAAATAATTTCAAGTGTTCAAAATTTATATTAAAATTTATTATGTGATGATTTATGCGGTTTTAAAAAGACTACATTGAATTGAATCTATGTATATAAAGCAAAAGGCAGAAAATGGTGAAACATTCAAAATATCAGAAAATATCATTGGTTAATTCAAACATTAAGAATTGAAATTATTAATTAAATTAATTAAATGAAGATAATATGGTAAATTCATATTTTTTTAATAAAAAAAAAAAAAAAAAAAAAAAAAAAAAAATAGACATTAGACCTTTTTATAGAACATAACTATCAATATTATCTTTCCTTAATTTTAAAAATGAAAAAATGAAAAAAATAAAACCAATTAGCACATAGTTGAGGGAGGCTAGTCAAAATAATTATTGTTCTTCTGATCCGGTTCAAGATATAATTTTTTTTAAGTAAAAAAGTCATTTAATTAACATGTTGAAATTTTTTCTAATTTTCATTATTTTCCAAAATTCGAGGACATCATCATCCATCTCCCAGAGAGGAGGCAACTGTTCGTTCCCGTTTCGTGCGTCGGTGTCCGCCCTTTTATACACCTTCCCTACTCTTCGCCTAATCCCACTGTCCGTACACAACACACACACTCTCTCTCTCTCTGATAGAGGCAGTCTAGGGTTTTTGAGCTAAGAGCTCTCTTCCGTACCATAGAAATGGCCTCTGCAAAACCCTAGCCAAGCCAATAATCCCCATTTCTGTGCCATTATTTTAATTTTCAAATCTACAATAAATTTCTTCGACGGCGATATGGGAGGTGCTAATAACAACGGCGACGATGCATCAATGGCCGGCGGCGGAGCCCAGCAGGCGGGTTTGGCTCCGGCGCCAGCACCGTTACTGAACTCGAACGCGCCGCCGCCGTTTCTGAGCAAGACGTACGACATGGTGGACGACCCGGCGACCGACCAGGTTGTGTCGTGGAGCCCCACCAACAACAGCTTCGTGGTTTGGAACCCGCCGGAGTTTGCTAGGGACCTTCTGCCCAAGTACTTCAAGCACAATAACTTCTCCAGCTTTGTGAGGCAGTTGAACACCTATGTATGGCACTGTCTCACTCTCTCTCTCTCTCTGTGTCTTTTCTACTCATGGTTTATGCTTTTATTGGTGATTGATTTGTTTCAATGGTTGATGGAAACACAGATTGGTCTTATCTGGGGAGTGTGGTATATAGTTTACTGAAATGTAAATCGTTTAGATTGTGTGGTTAATGGGAATGCTCAAGATTGGAAAAAGAAAAAGATAGTCTGTCTGTTGCAATCTTGCAGTAGTAGTGTAGTTGAGTGGCAATTCTGAAGTGCTTTGCACTCACTTTGTCGATACTGATTGTTCTAGGGGTGAATGGCTTAAAATCTCCCATTCGGTCCCTCGGAAATTTGAGGGATACTTGAAACGTTAGGAACTCGCGTTTTAACAAAATACTTGTTTTTGGAGTTGAAAGCTTTTGGTTTTGGTTTTTTCTTTTGCTTTCTTTTTTGCGACTATACATATGTTAGAAGGGTGTAAAAAAGTTGTCCTTTCAAATGGAGGTAAGTCAGATTCAAAACACTTAAAGTTGTAAAGAGGTTTGAGAATGTTATGAAGGATTTTTATTCTTCGACTGTTTTGAATAGAGGTAGAAGGGCCACTTGATCAGGTGGTATCTTGGAGCAGGTAGAATGTTGTTTGGGGGTTGGTAATTTGGTCATGAAGGATGAAGACTAAATGGGAAGTCTGTTGGTAGAGATTTCCTTGAGAGGGAGATTCTTTACGGTATGCTGTTAGCATTTTATGGAGTGAAAAAAGGGCAGGAATTGTTAAACAAAGTGAACAAGAATTATTTTTATGGTTGTTTCCTGATGTACAAAGCTTCTTGATGAGAACATCAAAATTTTGATTTGAGGAAAAGTGAGGGGAAAAAGAAACAGGGTGTTTAAGACTTGAAGAAACAGGGTGGAGAGTGGGATCTGGGGTTCAATACCTATTTGCTGTGCGTGTTTAATTCACCAAGCATAATAGAGTATCCCGTGCATGCTTAATTCACCAAGCATAATAGAGTAGCCTATGCAGCATGCTGATTCGTCCCTATGTCTGGATATGTCTTTAAGCACTCTTTTCCATGAGCTTCTCACTGCCTTACACAACATGTTCTATACCATAAAACCGAATTTTTAAGCGCAATGTTGCATAAAAGTTTGACTATGGACCTACAAATACCACTCAAAAGCTGCTTGAAACTTTTTATATGTGAGATAAGATATTTCAGGTTTCTTATTTACATTACAAATCTTGTTTGGGAGATGTTTGCTGTCATTTGGTTTTATGTTTTGATTGTGCTACATGGTTTTCTCCAGTAAAGTTGTGTGGGGTATGTGGGCTTGCATCAAAGACACGCTTAGAAAGAACTGGTAGAGAATGTCTCCATAGCTACTCATTGTTCATTTTGGCTGAGCCACATTTCGAATGATATTCTGTAAAGGTACTAGTTATAAGTTATGTGTACTCTGCATATGAAATTGCTTGAATAGAGAATCAAAGATTCTGAACTTGAGTGTAGTGTGGTATCAATGTGAAGACTTTTTGGTGGTTATGGGGAGTGTACTTGTTGAGTGGTGTCACTAGTAACTTAGACTCTGGGAATAAGCACACTATTGGTTCCTGACATGTACAAGGTGCCCATGTGGTGAGTCGGAGGGAGTGCTACTGCATAGGAAGAACTAAGTATGTGAAGTTATTTTTTAACCTTTTGGGAATACATTAATTGGCTTGAGATAAGTCTTGTGAACTCCATTAATCAACTTTGTAGTTGTTTTTCTTATAAATGGGTAGATAATCGATCCATTATTCTTCATCAATGTTTTCCTGCCTGCTTGTCCTGATATTGTTTTAGTTTCTTTCATTGTTTTGCTGAATCATGCATTTTTTCCTTTAATTTTCATTATGTTGATTGAACCCCTACTTCATTTTGGTTCAAACAGGGATTTAGGAAGGTTGACCCAGACCGCTGGGAATTTGCAAATGAGGGCTTTTTGAGGGGTCAGAAGCATCTCCTTAAGAGTATCAACCGGCGAAAACCTGCGCATGGACATAGTCATCAACAGCCACAGCCATCACAAGGACAGAATTCAGTGGCTGCGTGTGTAGAGGTTGGGAAGTTTGGCCTTGAGGAAGAAGTTGAGAGGCTAAAAAGGGACAAGAATGTGCTTATGCAGGAACTTATCAAGTTGAGGCAGCAGCAACAGTCTACTGATAACCAGCTGCAAGCAATGGTGCAACGTCTTCAGGGTATGGAACAGCGGCAGCAACAGATGATGTCATTCCTTGCAAAGGCTGTGCAGAGCCCAAGTTTCTTGACTCAGTTTGTACAGCAGCAGAATGAGAGCAATAGGCGCATAATTGAAGTCAACAAAAAACGGAGGCTCAAGCAGGATGAGGGCGGGGACTCTGGTACTCCTGATGGACAGATTGTGAAGTATCAGCCTCCAGTGAATGAAGCTGCAAAGGCAATGCTCAGGCAGATTATGACAACAGATACTTCTTCTTCCCGGCTGGAATCTTTTAATGACACCCCTGATAACATCCTGACTGGGAATGGCTCATCATCATCATCCAGTTTAATAGACAGTGGGAGCTCTTCAAGCCGTGCGTCAGGAGTGACCCTTCAAGAAGTCCCACTGACTTCAGGGCTTGGTTCATCATCTGCAATTTCTGAAGTACAATCTTCTCTACAGGCTGCAAACTCTGGAACAGTTACGAGAGCTCCATTCTCAGATATAAATGCCCTCGTTGGAGCACAAGAGGCACAATCAATCCCTATTTCTCAGGCAGGTGTAATCATCCCCGAGCTTTCTCAAATACCGGAAATGGTACCCGAATGTTTAGTTGATATTCCTGAAGAAAACATGGCACCTGATGCGGGTGTTGGATTTATTGAAAACATGGCATCTGACGCAGGTGATGGATTTATTGGCGACATATTGGGATTGGATGGGTCAATGACCATAGACATTGATAGTATTCCTCCTGATCCTGACATAGAAGCATTGCTAAAGAATTGGGATCAATTTTTACAAAGTCCAGAGCCAGATGAAATGGATTCTACTTCTGCAGGAGTGCCCATGGGAAATGAAGAGCAGCCGTCAACAGAGAATGGATGGGACAAAACCCAGCATAATATGGATAACCTTACTGAAAAAATGGAACGTCTTACTTCAGATACCAAAGGGGTTTGATCTTGTTTACCTAATGTACATTAGTCTCACACTTGAAGCTAAACCCCGAACCCCAAACGCTGGTGACGGGTGACGGAGACATACTACTAATTATCATTTTGATCTCATGGCCCCTTAGAAAAGCAGAGCAGCTATACCTTCTGTATCAGTTTAAATTGGCTTTATTTTGCACATATGGAAGGGGACCAGAGGTTTAGTTTTAATTTTAGTTTCTATCTCCCCTTTGGTTTTGATTTTTCTCTGCTTGTCAGTGTTGAATGAACTCCAAAATGGACAAAGATGGTTTCTTAAAAGCTTTATACTGATATCCCCCTTTTATACATTTACTCATATTCTCTCATGCTTTTTCCTTTCCTAAAAATTATTATCACATCCTTTCCTTAATTGTGTTTAGCAGCCTTAGATTAGAAATTTAAATTCGATTTGTAGGTAGAGAAGCTGTTAACCGGCCATAAAATAATGGATTAGTAGTTCATGGCTTTGCCTTCCATATTGGATCCATCCCGCCGCCATATGCCCTCTCTCTGCTTTGTAGGGGGCTACCCTCACCACCCTTCCTAGGCAACACATGTGAGTTTAACTATTTATAGTTAATTCTTTATTTTCTATTTGTTTGATGACATTATTATAGAGAGAAATAATGTTTTAATAAGATTTTTCTTGATTTTCCCTTATTCTGTTAATTGACCCAACAAACTTTCCACTTTTCTATTAATTACCAATGAAGCAAATAACTCAAAAAATTAACAACAGCATGACGATCATTACTCAACAAATAATTGACTCATTTGACTTTAATCCTGTGATTAATATGAGGCTTTAATCCGAATTGAACCTTTTTGATTAAAAGCAATGGTAATTTTATTGATAACACACAAAAAAAGTACAAAGTAGCCGCAATGTCAAATATGAGTACAACATCTCCAACGACGAAACACAAAAATAAATTGGTTTGATCTGGAGAGAATTACGCATGCCAGAAAACCTAAAACCTCCAATTTGACAGACAAAAACACCTGTACTCAGACCTACAATACAGATTCATTGCGCAACAGAAGTAACGGCAAATCTGCATCAAAAAGTCCAACACTAAATACAAACACCAACAAAGAAACAAGGGCACCACACCACATCCTCTCTAGCAAACCAAAGAGACTCGTAGCACCAACATGACTAAACCTCTTATTTTGCACAGGCAAAACCCAATCCCACACAAATCGGCAACAATCACTTTTCCAACTCCAAATACTGAACTTGAGCAAAATCCATGTGAGTGGACCAAAAGCTACTACAAAATTATGGCATCTACGATGGATTGTAGTACTTGCTTCAAAAACACAACGAAAACCAAAGCAAAAAGCTACGTTGACAACACCACACCGCAACCATCCCAACTACATCAAAGAACAACAAAAGTCACCGAGGACCTACAACGGAAAACACACAAATAAACAAACAAAAGACAAGATCCAGATAGATCTGGGCAAGAAGACCTAAAATCCAAACAAATCTGGGGACAGAAGTGGAGAGGGGAAGAAAACCAAGAAAGGTGAAAGGGAGATAAGGAGAGAAAGATGGAAGATGGGGAAGCCACCCACCCCAGAGGGGGGCTGCGGCTGCATTTCATGCTCACAGTTTCACCTTCAGAGAGATTAACGACCGAATCTGAACTGAACCTAACTAAATCAAATATTTTTATTTATTAAATGGGGCGGGGTGTGGGGGCGGGGGGGCGGGAAATAAACCCCAATAAACAACTACACTTCCGCAAGGGAAATCTGACGAGAACGAGAGACCCTTAGAAGGTCATCAACCAGAACATCATTTGCCCACACATGAGCATTATCAAAATAGCAAATGCCTAAGTCCAGGTTGTAGCTGCACCTTGCAAGGCAGTCAGCAAGGCCAATATTTTCCCTATAGATATGATATGCTGAATCAAATACTTTGATCATTTAATCAATAATAATAAAAAAATCGATCGAACAAAAAAAGAAAAGAAAAAAAAACTCTAAAATTATGATAATCTTATATTAGGTCCAAAAGGTTTTCTTAAAATAAAATACTCCAAAGAAAATTATTGAAAGCTAAGTTATGTCATGTATTATGTCCTAGAATTGGACACACGAAAAAGAACAATTTCATGTTGTTACTACTATCTTTTTCTACACTGCAAAAACTTGGTCTAAGATGTTGATGGATGTAAAAAAACTCAGTTGATGAGCTAGTCCTTGAGGTCTTGGTTGATTATTTTCCCGTAAATTAATCGAACAATTAAAAATAATACTAAATAAAACAAAAAAAAAAAAACAAAAAAAAAAAAAAAAAAAAAAAAAAAAAAAAAAAAAAAAAAAAAAAAAAAAAAATAATGAATTCAATAAATTAAGATAACAAACCTGTGGATGCATAAACGAGTAATTGGACAACATTGGATATATAGCTTGGTATCCAAGTAGGTGATTTGGAATCCTTGAACACTAGAAACAGTTGGAAATCCATACGGAAGATCATGATTATGTTCAGCTACAAAAAATTTCACAACATATTTTCCATCTCAATTAAGTTTGATCCCAAGCATTGCCTTACATCCAAATCTTCTTTGCTCTCTTTTCTTTTTCGGAGTTGTCTTTTTTCTATAGAAACCTTCACAAGAACAACAAAATTCTCTTTTATGTATTACATCATTCTTGCCCTTATTTACTCTAAGCTTTCTCACACTAAATCCAACACCTCTACCATATGAAGTGTAATATTAATATGCCTCCTGTTCATTATCAAAACTCATGCCAAGTGTTGGAACGTCATGACCAAATTTTCTTGTAAGCTCCAATTTGTTCAGTATGATCCAAGGGATCAAGACTTTCAGAATCAGAATCTAAGTAATCAACAGATTCTTTACCATCATTGGAATATGTAGCATGAAATTCATCCTCTTAATGGTCCATGAGGACACTAGCAGTATGTGCATGCATATGTATCATATTACTTGACATTCAATGATGCACAAAAGAAAAAAGGGAGAATATTCAATGAATGCTACATCCATAAAGAATTATATAAAATAAAATAAAATAACTTAATATTTGGAGTCTTCCACTTCCCATGAAATTGTTAAATTCGAATTTGGCTTTGATACTCAGAAAACTAAATAAAGCAAAGCAATCACTAAAGTATAAAAAAATAAAAAGCAATACAAAGTACTAAAAAAAAGTAGCAGCATAGATGATACATATTTTTGCTTGAACAAAGGAAGGAAGTCTGGAATTATTGGGCAGTGCACTCTTGGAGCTGTTAAGTCTTCAAATATGAGCACCCAAATTGTGGATAATCCAGAAACTATAAATTCTCAATTAAAGGGACTTCTGTGTTTTTATTCGAATAAGAACTTATGCCTTTTCAGTTTCCATTGTTTTGATTTATTTTTAAAATTAAATTAATCAATAAAAATGGAAAGTTTGTTGGGTTAATTAATAGAATAAGGGTAAATCAGGAAAAATCTTATTAAAACATTGTTTCTCTCTCGTAATAATGTCATCAAACAAATGAAAAAATAAAGAGTTAATTATAGTTAAATCCATAGACATGTGTCACCTTTTAGGAAGAGTGGTGAGAGTACACGTATATCTTGGATTAAAGTAGTGAGCGAAAATTCACAATTCAATATAATGAGGGTAAAGTGATTAAATACTTGTCATTTAAAAACACAAATTAAAAAGAAATTAAAAATAACAAACACAAAACTCACTAACAATGTGGGAGTTACCTCCACCTCTCCACCAATATATAAAAGAATAAAAGATTATAAAAATATATATTAATTATGAAAAAAAAAAAGTCTTTGATAACCCAAAAAAAGCCGATTGGGACGTGCGTGAGCGTGTGCCAAGATGCTAATATAACAAGAAAAACATACGTGTCGATATAAGTAATTTCACCTCAAAACTAACCAGGTTTTACAGGTGCAGATGAGATAAACTTCAGCTGCCCGTTAATTTTGGGATAGCCTAGGCCACTTGTCAGGCCTGCTATGAGTTTGAAAGCAACAAATATTGTAGTTAAACGTACGATCGTCAGATTGACTGATTTGAGTAGATTTGTTAGCACGATTAATTATTTCTCATCCAGTGTAAAACAAAGGAGGATCAAGGAAGAGAGTGTGCATGTGTGCTCATTGATTATCAGTGTAAATGACACTGGTGAGAGAGAGAAGGCACCAACAAGCACTAAGGCTCTCCCCACCGCCACCGGATGTTACTCCGGTAGCAGCTGATCATTTCAGGCAGCAGAGGTCTACTACTCCTACTTCTACTCCTGACTCTCCAGCCAATGTTGAAAACCTCTCTGACCTTGAGAAACTGGAAGTTCTTGGACATGGCAATGGCGGCACTGTTTATAAAGTGTGTCACAAGAAAACCTCAACCATTTACGCGTTGAAAGTCCTCCGTTTCGACCACAATGGCACCGGTATCTTGCAACAAGCGGCGCGTGAGGCGGAGATCCTTAAGCTAGTGGACTCGCCCTATGTCATTAGATGCCATGGGGTTTTTGACAATAATGGCTTCATGAGTAGTACTAGTGATCACAATGATGGTGGGGGTGATTTGTGTTTTGTGATGGAGTATATGGAAGGAGGCTCGCTGCTCGATGTGTTGCGAGCACGCAAGAGATTGCCTGAGCACGTAATCTCTTGCGTGGCAAAGTGTGTCCTTCAAGGACTGCACTATCTGCATGCCATGCAGATAGTGCATAGGGACATCAAGCCCTCAAACCTGCTCATAAATGGTAGAGGCCAAGTGAAAATTGCAGATTTCGGGGTGAGCCATGTTGTGGCAGGTGCCCGTGAGGCGTGTGACTCCTACATGGGCACCTACGCGTACATGAGCCCTGAAAGGTTTGATCCAGAGCGGTGGGGAGGTGATAATGCGGATGGGTTTGCCGGTGATGTGTGGTCACTTGGATTGGTGGCGTTGCAATGTCACATGGGTCGTTTCCCACTGATTACTTCTGAGCAGAAGCCAGATTGGGCAACTTTAATGTGTGTGATATGCTTTGGAGAGGGGGTGGAGATGCCGGAAACGGCATCCCCAGAGTTTCGGAGTTTCATTTGGAGATGTGTGGAGAAGGATTGGAGGAAGAGAGCAACTGTTGATGAGCTTCTTGACCACCCTTTTGTCATTAAAACTTGCTGCTCTTCCACTGAAGACTTGGTTGATTATGTTTAATTGCTTTGCTTGCTTTATTAGTTCCTTTCCTCCTTATTCTTCTTTTCTTCTCTTATCCTTCCTTCCACTAGATTTTCTAAAGTTTTAAATAATTTTATCCTATTTTTAAAAGCGAGCTACATTCTCTTTTATCTTCTTTTTTCTACTTCTCTTTTACCTTCTTTTGAAAGTTTTTAAATATAAAAATTTATAAAAAAAGGGTAAATTTTTAGAAACACCTAAAACTATGTCTTTTACCACTGACATTTTCTTTTAAAGATGGGGGAGAACCTGGAATTAAGGTAAAAGAAAATTGTGGCTTGTTTGCTTTGCGCATGATTGTCTAAGTTTTTTGTTTTTTGTTTTTTGTTTTCCAACAAATAATACAATAGATTATGGAAGACTATTGAACTGCCATTGTCATAGTCCAGAGTACACTTGCTCAACTTAATATGATGTTATTTGTGTTGATCTTGGGACATACCACCAATCGAACATGATCACTCCACCGATGGTCTACAATCTACTACACAGACCTCAGCCAGCCACTCCATATATTGTTGATTGGCTGGAAACAAAGTTCCATCACGATTCTATACTCTATCGATAGAAGCATTCTAGCCCATTTTGATTTAGTTAGAGAGGAGCGACTTCTGATTGCAGACTCCCCCAACAACCTCAACGTTATCTCAAGGCTCAAAGGTTTTGGGTGGGGCGGTCTAACCACATCACCAGTGCAACCACTCTCACAATCAATGCAGGGGTCCATTTCTTGCAAGAGTCGTCGCATGAGGGACCGCCCCACCCAAGACCTACTAAGGAGACTCTAGTTCACATAAAACGACGGCAACAATCATAAATCTGCTATCTGTTTCTACATATAACACCAAGGCTTTGTCGAAATTCTCTGCTTTCCACGGGCTTCTATGAAGGGTTGAGTCCGAAACCACCCCAACAAACATGCATGAAGTTTTTCCTTCAGCCACAACATATGTTTTTTATTTTGTTTTTTTTTCTTTCAAGTGATATTTTGGGAGGAGGGAGAGAGAAGTTGCAATGCACGATATTTCATGGATGTTAAATCAAACAGAGACAGAACAAAATGCTTGTCAATCTTGTGCCAAAGCAGCAAATCCAGAAATTCATATCAACATGCTGCTTCTACATCATAACATCATACAAATACAACAAATACATTATCCTTCCTAGCTGGAAATCATTTTGGTGGGGCTAAATTCCAATTATTTGAAATTTCCATATGCTTCTGGAGAAAACCGCCTGAGTAAGAGAAAATAACAGCAAGTAATCAACTATTTAATGTCACAATACAAATACTGACGAGTGAAAGTGAGACCGGTATGAAGATAATGGCATGAGTTCAAAAGCATTAGAAGGCTGAGCAATGGATTTATTTCCGTCATGAAGAAAATTTAAACAAATCAATAAAAACACAGGAAGAACTCTGTCAAAGCTGTTGTAGCTGTTATAATTTACATGCTATTGTAGCCAACCAAATTTCCTACACGGGGACATATAACACAGTAGCTTCACCACTGTGTGGACTTATGCCTTGCTTATGCTTCTATGACTAAGCATTCTTTTATGGCATACCATGCTTTCTCCCAAGTGGTTTGTTATGGTTCACTACCTGCTCACATTTCAAAAGAAATGCTAATGGGCACCCCGTGTCTTATGGATTTTCTATATCTCCTCTTCTTGCAGAACAATGGATGCCATCTCGTCTAACTTCTATTTAGTTTGAGTATCTCAGAAGGATGAAGAAAACTATGATGGGAAAGATTTGAGAGTATATCTTCAATTTATTCTATTTAGTTTGAGTATCTCATCTAACTTCTAACAGCATGAACAAAGACCTTGCAACTATCCCTAGGTGACATTCTGTTTAGGACTTAGAAGCACAAACTTGGTGCAGGAACAGGAACTGTGTGTGAAAATGACTGTTCTTGGAAATTCCTAATTTTGGGGAATCCAAGAAACATGCATAACAAGTTCACCTAAAACTAGTAGAAACCAAAGAGGAAACCACTTAAACAGCATAGACTAATAACAGAACCAGGAAAACCAAAACCAGAAAATAATAATATAATCCAAAGCATCTGTAACCTAATACTAAAAGCATCTTTTAAGTTTATGGGAAACACCAGGAATTAAAAACAGTAGTGATTCATCGTAATTTGTAAAGAAAATTGATAATTTCTATAAAACATCTCATTATGAACCAAGAAATGGTACAAAATACTCAAACGTTACAATGTCTTACATTTTCTTTAATAAAAAAACATTTATTCCATCAACAAGCACAAATTGGTACTAATGCATTCAGGTCATTTTCTACCAAATTAATTTATATCGCATATGGATGCGGGCATAATACTTGATAGAAAAAAATTAAGCAAAATGGGGGTTGAAATTATAAAAAAACCCAACACCCAAAACACTTTATAAACACACCCAAAACCCATCATTACACATACTCAAAACCCATTTATAAACACACCCAAAAAATATACAATTGTTGATTTTGGGGTTGATTTTGGGTGTGTTTCTATGTTTAAATAGTGCTTGGGTTTTTTTATAAATACATGTCTAGAATTGGGTTTATTTATAAATTTGTAAAAAATTAACTAGGCATGCTGTATGCAAACAGTGAGCCAGATACTAGGATAATTTTCTTCCTCAAAAGTTGCATGCATAATCATCCAATGCAGGTAGGGTAATGCAAATTCTTTACTCCTTATACTAGGGGTGTTCAAATAACTGGCTCCAACTGACCAGGTTGGTTCAGATTCTGTTTTTATTTTTATTTTTATTTTAAATAGAGACATTGTATTGAGAAAAAGGAGGATAAGGAATCCGCCAAAACAATACAAGAAAGAAAAGACAGACTCCAAGGAGTCGAAAATAACAAAAACAAAAAAACTAGAGCCACTGCCTTACAACCCCCTCAAGAAGGAGTTAAAGACGACCTTACACGGCGTAGTTATTTTAAATCGGTGTTGAAGTCTCTCAGGTTGGTTCAGATTCTCAGTATCCTATGGGTTTGTTTCAGTTATATACTTAGGAGTGTGATCAAGTGGGTTAGTTGAATGTTGTGTGGTTCTGAAACCAACAAAACCGCTCCAGTCCGAATATATAAAGAGTGACAAATATAAGAAACTCCACCAGGGTAGATGGAAGTGCAATCTCCACTAGTAATATTCTGATCAACATTGTAATACTTACCTGTTTGCTACAGCTTCAATAAACTGAGTGGGAATAGAATCCTACATAGCTTAAGGCAAGAACATCGATGCATATGTAAATTAACTGTATCTTTGTCCAAGTTGTCATTACATTTAAGCTCTAGTTTTGAACCTTTTAGAAACTAGGAGAAGTATGATCTTCCATGAGTTACCATCCCTACGAACCTGATATAGATATCTACAGTACTCTTAAGTCTTAACTACGGTTTCAGGAGTCTTCTTAACTACTGTGGTGCTAGCATGTCACCAGAAACCGACCATAAAAACCTACTGCAGTTTGAAGCATCAGGAATGAAATGTAGTGTAAAACATCTTGGACTATGACATTCGTATCAGGCAGGCAGAAAATGCACGGAAAACTATAGACCACAGATCCAATAAGAAAAGAAAAAAGGAGCATTATTGTTTTATTTTGTTCTTCAAAATAGTTCAAGAGTTTCATACCAATAACACAAACCCAGGAACACAAGGCATGATAAAATTCAACATCCAAACATCCAATTATCTTCAACCAAAGGTAGTAGGGGGTTAAACTGACCTTTTCTTGATATAGGGTTGATATGGTGGCGTGGTCCTTCAAAGATCCAATTATCTTCATCAAGAGATTTAACCACCTTGTTAAGTGCGTCCATCAGATCAGATTTTATAACTGCAATTTAGAAAATAAACACTCATTTCAGATAAAGAATATGAATTGGTAGCCACAGAAGCTTAAGAAAAGGCATTCTATAGTACTCATTTATCAAATCTTAACGTTTGTCTAAAATAGGTGCTTGCTTGGTCTATTTGAGTTGATTGATTTCTTACTCTTCATTCACAAGAACAAAACAAGAAATGATTTTTACATGAAACTTTAACCCAGTCAGGTATTTTAAGACTCACACCTAAAACCAACTGTAAAGAAAAGTAAGTTCATAAAACATTTGCCATTGTTCCAAAACCTGCCATAAAAAAAATTTAATTGATAAAAGTTTAAGCCACGCATCAGAGAATAAAAGCATCTCTCCAAACATCCCCACACAATTATCACTAGAAGCTCTCTGAAACCCACTTTTATCCATTACCAATAATGCAAAAATGCAATAACATAGATATACAATAACAACAAAAAAAAAAAAAAAAAAAAAAAAAAAAAAAAAAAAGAAACAAACCAAGCAATGCCTCTTCTTTGCGATCTTGAATAGAAATCAGATCAATGGGGAAGAAGAAGTCGTCTGTAGACAAAGCAGGATTGCTGCTGCCATTTCGTTCTCCTCTTTCTCCAGCTATTGCTGTTGTTGATATTGAAGAATGTGCTGGTGATGAACTACTCATCTCTCTCCTTCTTCAATTCTTATTTTCCTGGAAAATTCACTTTCTCAGACTCACACCAGGAAAATTCCTAAATTCCAATACACTTTCGAATTTGGGTTTATCAGTTTTTGGCTCTCTTCCAAAAGTTTTCATCTTTATCCAACGTTTGACTCCCTAAATTACACTTTCGCCCTTAAAACTTTGCCTTAATTACTTCTTCAACCAGCCGAAGCCCTTTTTTTTTTTTTTTTTTTTTTTTTTTTTTTTTTTTTTTTTTTTTTTTGGGGGGCGGTCGTTCAACCTTAGAAGATTACTTAGATGCATAAGTACAGCTTTAACAGATTAATTTTTCTTTCCCAATCAAAAATTTGAAATTGAAATTAGGTTAATGAATTCATAGATGCAAGGTTTCTTCTTGAAACTGAAAACCATTTTGTTTCAAGGTCGTTGCTTGCACCTTTGAGCATTCTGTTTGAGTTGCTTGCTATTTTTGTTATGGAAACTCAGAGGCCTCTTCGCCTGCCCAATTCCTTGTTCGTTGGACTTGTCTTGGTATTCTTCTCTGGCATTGGTTTTTGCATCCATTCTTCTGCAGTTTCAAGCGAGGTCAGTGCTTTTTGTTTCTTTTGTCCTTCAAGTTTTACCCATATATATATATATATATATATATATATATATATAATATCTATAATGTTATTGCATTGCAGTTGTTTCCATTTTCTTGTTCAAGGGTTGCAATTGGTCATTTTCTTATTATGTACAAACAAAGCATGATCTGCCACGCATTTTGTGGGCTGTTTTGCCACTCATATTTAGAAAGCTTCTTGATAGTTTAAGAAATCCCACTTTGGTGTCTAATGACGTGATATTGACTGTGTGGTTAGCAGATCTCATAAAGTTCTGGCCTTGGGTGAGTTATGCATAGAATAAACATGCTTTTGTTCTGTCCTTTTTTTTTCTTTGGTTGGGGTGCTGAAAGACCATTTGGTAGGACAGAAACATTGCAATTGACAATGGTTCATAGCTTGAGTTATAATTGGGGGAGTACCTCTTATAGTTCATGGTGTGTGTGTGTGTGTGTGCAGCCCCTCATGCAGAAACTTTGAGTCCTAATTTCTTGTTTCATTGAGACTACATGCTACAGATCTTCATGATATGCATAACCCCGCATGCCGAAATGCTGATCTTCTATTTCTTTTCTTTCTCCTTTTTCTCTTGTCCCTAAAACAGGTTTTCACTCAATTATAATCTGGATATGGTCCATAGTTATAGAATTTGGAAGCCTGATAAAATCAATTCACATTGCCTCTTTTCCAGCTGCTCTAAGATTCAGAGCCATTATGAACTTAAATCCACTACTCCAAAAAGATATATATAAAACAAAAGATGAACTAATGAAAGAACTTCCACATCTTGTTTGGTGGTATGTTCATATTTCAGACAAGAAAGTAGACGTTTAATCCCTAGCTTGAATCCAATTTCTAGAGTTTGTTTTACACTGATCATCATAGTTACATGAAAGCGAATTCATCAACTTTAATCCATATCATCTTCTGCTCCAATCTGTTATTTGCAATGAATGCTTCTTTCTCTGCATAGAGTGGCTGACTTGCCATATGCCCAATGCCATCAATTTGGAAGCTCTCTTCTCTCAAAGGCTCCACTATTTAAGAGTTTGTTAGAGCCTTTGTATCAGCATAAGGCGGATTGTGTTTGATTGCGATCAAGCAATCTTTGAAATGATAGCATTTCTGCATTAGCAATTAGGATTATCAGTTAAGGGCATGTGCATTCAGCTCACTAGTTTCTTGTTTGGCTTCCACAATCAAAGTACGTGAACGATAGTTTGGTGTGTGGAGCCTGCTTGATCCCAAGTACTGAATGCAACCTGAACCCCTGTTTGAATAATTACCTTCCTGTTATAACCAGAACAACTAATTGATTTCAGCAAATTAGCATAGAACTCATCATTGGGAACTTAGGTATGCTACTAAAACTGTAACTCTGAAGCATTTTAAGCTGTTTTCCAATTGCATCATCAATGATTATTCTAAATAATAATAACAATCTTTTTTGCTGGATATCTGGCATGTTATGTTGTTTGATTGTGAATCAAGACTGCACGTTCACACATGTTTCCACCTACTCAACAGCCCTGATTCACAATCGAACATAACAAGCCAAATTGTCGAACAAAGAAAATTACTCTCTTTACAAATTATAAAATAAGGTCATGAATTTTGATGTCAACAACACTCTAATTTATATTATGGAATTCTGGGATGTCATGAATAATGGAAATTGGTTGAAGTAAAAGCAATGAAAGTTCGACAACATGAAAACTGCACTTAAGGCTAACTAGTAGAGATTGTACTTGGGTCTAACAAGTTCATTAAGTTTATGATACAAAATTCTTCACCTTATAAGTATTTTTTTCTAGATGAATACATATTTTCCTCTTTGGCTGGAAATACCTATTATAAATACCTAAAGAGAGACTAATTCTTTTTTTTCTCCCTCATTTAATTTACTTTTTTAATTTTGTTAGTTTATGTTTTTTTCTTTTGATAAGTAAGCACTTGTTTTCATAATTGACAGAAAGTTTACACTATCATATATTGTTGACTTGATCTTCCTTCTGTAAGATTACTTTAAAGATTTTGATCTGTCACACATATCTTTTAATTTTTCAGGTGGGAAGCTGTGATGCAAACTATGATGATAGTGACTCAAAGATCAGTGCCTTTTGTAGTTTCAAGAAGTATATTATGCAATCTTATTATGCAAAATATGAAAACTTGTTAGATTCAGATTTCCAAGATTTTATAGGACAAGAACTTCCTTTTGGTATGTGTGAGGTGCTTCCCCATGATCTGAGTCTTGTGCTAAAACTCTCAATTTTGCATTGGAATCTGATAGGCCATGGTTCTCATCGTCATCTCACTTCATCCATCAGAGTTAATATCAAACCAGAGTCCATATCTGAGTTACCAACTCACCATTGTGAGGTCATAATCATTGAGAGACTGCCATCTGGGGTATTTGCAGATCCATTTGAGCTTCAACATCTCCTTCAGCGTGGTGGTATCTATCCTTCTTGTTTCTCCTCTTCTTCTTCCCCCTCTTCCCCCTCAAATGAAAACAAAATATTACCCATAACCTGCTATCCAGAGATATTGCACTGATTTTGTTTCTTGTAATTGAATTTTTCCGTGTAATGCAGTATATAGCAATATCGCTGTATTTGGAGATACCAATTTAGAGTCTCCTTCATTTCTTTCCAATCGTTCTGCTGTCGAAGTTCACATGGATATTGGTCATAATCTCTTTCTGAGACATGCTGAAGAGTTTAACATCAACGTAGAGATTCCATTACATGCACGATATCCAGTAAGTGAAAAGGTTATGTGTGGAACTGTAACTCTGTCTGGTTTCCCTTTAGTTATTTATAGTTCGGAAGATTTTTTCATCTATGCTAGTTCTATATTCATTCAGCATTGCATATATGGTTTGAAATAGGGATATGTAAACAAATAGATTATTATTCATGTACTTGACGAGGACTATGTCCACTGGTATATACAGAGACCGGCTGGCATTTTCTCAGGATTGAAATCTGAGAAGAGCCTTTGTGTGTGCGTTGGACACTGTTTTTGTTTTTAATTTTATCGGGAATATCATTCTTTTGCGTAGAGAGAACCAGCTGCTATATTCTTTATTTTGTATCATTTTACCTTTGTTTTCCTGTGTGCAGCCTCTTAATGAAAACGGCTATTGGGAAGTCAAGTTTGGTGTACCTGATTTGTTCATGCGTTGCAGTGTTGAGGGAAAGTCACATGATGAAAGCTGTTTATATAAGGTGTCAGAGATTACTGGTTCTAAATTAACATATGGTACAGTTGTCTGGAAAATACCTTCTGGGATGAAGGTGCATGCTGGAATTGTATCCATTTTCACTTTTGTTGCAGCCTTATTTTCAGCTATTTTAATTGCTGCTACATCCATATTTTATTCAGACATCAACTCGAGCAAACATTTGAAAGAATCTTAATTCATTAAACAAGTTTGTTGCTTTACAGTTAGCATTCATTTTGTTGTTTTGTTTTCATAATTTACACCAAACTCCCATTTTCAATCTATTTTTTGAGTGATTTATTTCCCATTCTCACTTTAATCGTATCATACAACATCAGCTTTTTTGAGACAAACACTAGAAGGGAAATTTAAAAACCAAATATTCAGATGAGAGAGAGTCTTGCTTCGAATAGGTAAATCAATCTGAATATTCCTTGACATTAATCCTCTCATACCTACTGATGGGATGCATTTCCTATGGCTCCTGAAAAGGACATCATATGGACTGGATGAAAAGGGTCGGTCATCTTAAAAGTAGGATTCATTTCTTGTTGCAAATATTCATTTGTAGCATACCATATCTCAATAGATTAGCGTAATTCCCAGTAGAGCTGGACATTTCAAACCGAAAAATGGCCAATCCAGGCCATACAGGTGACTTCCAACCTCAAAGCTATGTTGGAGAACAATCAGAATATAACCAAATAACATAATAAAAATAGTACAAAATATATTCTCTATATATAATCAAATCAATACATCAATATAATGAATTACAAAATACTGACTTGGATAGATGATAGAGTCTTGCAGAGTTGCAGTATCATTTAGACAAAATTTCCCATTTACCCTTGTGCTTGTAGTTCGATAGGAGTCTGCCCACAAGGATTAAACTATCACAAATCAAAGCTTAAACACTGTGGCTTTGATTTCTAACGAACAAGATTTCCTTCATAAGTGCCCTAAGAAGGACTTAGGTACGGAATCGTCAATACATCTTAGAATTTGGACAAGCGAATTAGTGGTTAGTCTAAAACCCTAGTGCTCATTAAAATTTGGAAGCCGAATAACCATACAAATCTTAAGTGATGTCCTTTTACTTCCTATTCCTTCCCTGACTTCATAGTTTCAATTGCTTGTTTCATTTAGCGTTTAATCGTTTGTTTGCTTTTAAATCGTTGCATCTCTTTTTAGTTCTAAGTTGTGTTTCGTTTTTTTTTCTTTTTCTGTTAGTGTTAAGTATAAATTAAATAATAAATCCAAAAAAAAAAAAAAAAAAAAAAAAAAAAAAAAAAAAAAAAAAAGTCTTGAATTGAGTTAAAGAACTAAAGAACTGATCACTAATGTTCATGGGAACGATACTCGTACTTGCATCACACTGTATTATAAATTGATTCGTGCACTTGTGAGTTTTAATTTGATATAAATTGATCTAATATTTAGGTTGGTTTTAAATACATACATCAAGTTTTTGGCGGTGTTGCAAGAAAGAAAATGTGCCACTTGTGATTGATTTCACTCTATTTGTTTCTACAAAGCAAAACTTCGCCCATTTCTAATCCTTTTAGGAGAATCCAACTCAAAGAGAATTTTAGAAAGATATGTTTTATCATGCGCCATCGTCGAGTTGTATGTAATTCTGGTGTATTGAAGTGTGCAAAGATTTCTGTTTTTTTTATTTCTCAAATAAAACCTAGTGAGATTAGAAAATAGAAGAGTTGTTGCCAAGCTTGAAAGAAGGGAGAGAGTTATGACCATGGATAAGAGATTATGAAGAAAAAAAAAATCGAAAACTCTTTGTAGAGAAAACAATGGCATATAGGATACTTTGGGATTTGGAAGGGATGAAGTAGAAGAAATGTGTGAAAGAAACCGAGAAAATAATAGAAGTTTCCTTTCTAAAAATTGCATTGAATTTTTTTTTCTTTTGGGAGAAGCACTGAAAATTATTTACCCGAAAAAAAAAATCGGATTAAGAGCCTCTTTCAATTGGTTTTTTATTTTTGATTTTATTTATTTAAGAATTAAGAAAGAGAATCCAACCAAAAAAAAAAGTGTATTTTTAATTTAGTTGAGTTTATTGTTTTAGACTGCTGTATATTGTTGGATTAAATCCAACGGCTGTTGATTAAGAAGCTCCCTGGTCCCTGGCACAGAATTGATATCCGGTCATCAGGTCATCAATTCACAGCCGTTGGATCAACTTCAAAACAAGTGCAACGGACAGATTAGGCTAATGTACGTAGTGCTTTGTGGGCTCTCATCTGCATCTCGCGCCACCACCTCCCACTCTCTCTCTCTCAAAAAAATAATAATAATAATAATCTCTCAACTTTCTTCAATTTATCCTTGTGTATTTGAGTTTCAATTATTTTACCTGAGCTTGGTTGCTGGGTTGCCCAAGCATCGCGCGGTTTGTTGCCAAGGTAAGGATTTTTTTTCGCAATTTTTTTGGGTTCCTGTTGATTGCTAGAAGGATTTCTCAATCCCTGCGATTTTGCACAGAAATTGAAGGTTTTGTTCTTGGGATCCAATTTTTGGGCGTGTTTCTCTGAATTGAGTATCCTATTTGGCGCGTCAATGTTGGTTATATGACATTATTTTTCTGCCGTGGTGAGCTTTGATATGGCTATGCCCTTAGGTTTGTTTGTGGCGTCCTTTTTGAAATAGTGGTTGTGATTTTTGTCGATTAACTTTCTTGATAGGTTTGATTTTATTTCTACTCAATTGGGTTTTGCTGTCTTACTTTTGCTTCTTGATTTAACCTAATTTTCTGTTTGGATTGTTGCAATTCAATTGGGATGCTTTATTTTTTGTTTTTCCTTGGAATTTTCTATCCCATCTGCTATTGTTTCGTGGATAGCCTCATGATTTGGACTGGATTTTCTGTTTCATTTTCTTTTCGTCTGTTCCTCACATTGGGATATGCTGATGTTGTGTTGATTGCTATTGACAGAATAGCGTCTTCCGAAAGATCCATCACCAAACAACTAGAGAAAGGAGGCTCCTGCTGATTGCTGAACACAGTCACTTAAGGATTGTCTGTAGACATATCAAATATGTATCATCCCACTAGAGGCGGTGTTCGTGGTGGTCGAGATCGTAAGCGCTCTCTCTAGAGAGATTCTTATCTTTCATTTGCTTCAGGGAAAATAGTGAACATTATGGTAGAATTGCACTCAAAGATTAGGTTTTTGTTGATATTCATGTAGGCAGGGGGGGAATTTTATTTACTTTAAAAAAAATTCCCACCGATGAGATACACAGAAGTGTATAGTTAACTTTTTAGTTCTTTTACCGATAATTTCCTCTGATTAATGCTTAAAAATAATTGCTTCTAAAATCCTATTCTTAGCTAACCATTTGTTCTTTAGTAGAAATCATGAATTTAGTGACTTGGTGAGAAAGTTGTTCGTCTATTCTAGAGAGCTGCATAGAAAAACTTGAACATATGATGTGGGACGGAAAGGGAGTTTAGGGATCAGAAAGACAGGGGAAGTAAGAAAGGAAGGTAGAAAAGAAAAACAAAACATGGGGGCAGTAGGATTTTAATGTTCAACATTCAATATTCAATATTCAACTCTACTCAATTAGCTTGGAGTAAGGCCTCTTGTATAATAGGAAGTTGAAGCACAACAAGCCAATGAAACCTAGAGTGAAACCCTGATAATAGTAGGGACATAAACCCAACTAGTTAAAGAGATCACAATTGAAAATTATGTGTGCTCTAAATAGTAGGAAGATCCTAAAATGGAAAAAAATGTATGTAATTCTTAATAACATAAACAAACCCCCAGTAGATGCCTCTATATGATCTCCATCACATATTTATGTGTAAACCACATTGACATGATCAATGAACATAGTGCTCGTACATTTAGGTGCATCCTTATGCTTGGAGGCTTAATAATCTTTTTATGTCTAATGAACTTTCTGCTTCTCCCTTGATGTACAGAATTTAGTTGGGATGATGTGAAGGTTGATAAACATCGAGAAAATTATCTTGGTCACAGTATCAAGGCACCTGTTGGAAGATGGCAAAAAGGTGAGACGTCTTGTTTGTTCACATTGCTATAATTCATACATTTTGACAATTTCACATGAAATTTTCAATTTGGTTTGAAGTTGCAAGTAGTTTGGGTTTTTATTTTATTTTATTTTTTTTAATAATTAACAAATAGCCCAACCATCATACTTTTAATGAAGATGACCACTTTAAAAAAAATTATAAACCTAGCTAATTGTTAAATTGAAAAGACTAAGAGGCCCTTTCCAACCCAGCGTTACTCTGATATTTTTTGTTCTTTACTTTGTTTTGTTTTGCCGCTGTCTTCGTTTCTGTTGTTGCCAATTGTCCCTGTTCCTACCTTTTTCTTGAGAGGTAGGAACAACGGCAATGAACTCTGTAATGCCCTTGCAATTCTTGTATCATTGGCAATAATTTGGTCTCATTCTTTGAACCATGTCACAAGTATTGACCTTTCCATATTTTTGGATCACTAATTATTCATACTACTGGAAATTGGGCCAATACATATCAAGTCGGCACACATTCAAATTTGTTAACATTTCTTTGGAACCTATTGATGAAAGACAAAATTCAGTTTCCCTAAGCGTTGCAAAGAGCATTGCTGACATAATTTTGGGTGTAGACGGTAGTTATGAGTCCCTTCTTGTCTGCTAAATTTTTCTGTTGTATGACATGATTGGATTTGGTTCGAATGTAGTGCTTTTGGGAATTTTGTTCTTGCACAGTATCTTAAGTTTGTATTCTACTGGTACTTAACTCTACAAATGATGCTTGAATATATCATTTATAAAAGGGATTGATGCATTTCCTTATTTTGTAAGGATAATCCACTGCCATGGGTGAAATGTATGAGAAGCCTCTTTTGTCCAAAATAAAGAAGTGGTGGAGTCTTTTAAATGTCTTCTTTTAATGTTTTTTACACAAGGGTCTAATCTCTAGAAATTAAAGTGGTTATCTGGTTAGACAGCTACTAGCAAAGTTAGTGTACATACTGATTTTTATGTAGTGTTGTTTGTTTTTGTTTGTTTACAGGATTTTTTGCCTTTTCCTTTTTCCTTGTTTTTTTTCTTTTCATCCACTTGTAAGTCTTGTGTGCAAAGATTTTACAATTGTTCAGTTATTGGTAAAGATGTTTACAACTGTTCGTTATATTGGTTCAACAGGTAAAGATCTACACTGGTATACGAAAGACAAAAAAACTCAGAATGCAGAAATGGAGGCTGCAAAAGAGGAGATTAAAAGAATTAAGGATGAGGAGGAGCAGGCTATGAGGGAGGCTCTTGGCTTAGCTCCTAAGCGTGCAAGCAGAGGTCAAGGTAATCGGCTTGATAAGCATGAGTTTTCAGAACTTGTGAAGCGAGGCTCTACTGCAGAGGACTTAGGTGAAGGGCACGCTGAAGCAGCACGTGTACATGGTCTTGGTTTTTCAAGGTATGTAACTGAACTGAAAGTGAAAATAATTAATTAAGTGGTGCCTTGGCTTCTTCCTTTATTTTGATGTAGTACTAGCTCTATCTAAATCTAGTCATATTGTTGTTGCTGGTTTTGATGTTTTGTCTAGTATAGGTTGGGAGGTGTATTTCTTGCTGAATGATGATCCACTTTGATTGTACTCTCCATTTCTATTAATGCAATTATTCTGTTTACTATACCAAAAAAAAATAAGAGAGAGAGAATACGCATGGTTTTCATAACAATCGTTTTCTGAGTGTTTTAAAGAAAATTGAACAATTTGGACAAGATGTCCACTGGATCAGCAATTTGGAGAGCTTCAAAATAGCACCTACAACCCAGACCAAGCGGGTTGGGTTGGTAGGTTGGCGGGTTAAATGCCCACCACTACCAGAACACCACGCCCAACACTAACCACACCACAATCTACGAGCTCTCTAATATCCATTCACCTGAAAAAATAGTTTATTAAAAAATAATTTCACCTGAACAAATAAAATACCATTGCAATGACCCCACATAACATGGTGATTGAAGTTTTTATGCCATGTCCGGTTTAAAAATCAATAGAGCCCAGTGCTCAATTGCAGGTATTCACACTCAATAAGTGGAGATTTAGGAGTTGGCAAAGGTCTTGGGCTGTGAGGTGGGAAGCTGGCCTCTAAAGTATTTGGGGTTGCCTCTTGGAGTGAATCCAAGTGCAGCCAATTTTTGGTGCCCGGTAGTGGAAAAAATGGAAAGAAGGTTAGAGGGCCGGAGTAAGGCCTTGTTTGTCAAGAGGGAAAAGGATGATTTTAATCCAATCTGTGTTGAGCAGTTTCTTAAGTTACTATCGGCCTCTTTTTAAAATTCCTTGTAGTGGAAGGGAAGAACCATTTGGTGAGATGAGAAATTGTGTCTCAAACCAAAGAAAAAGGAGGTTTATGGGTGGGGCTGTGGGTATTCCAGACAAAGACAACTACCCTTTGATATGCCTGTAATAAAAAAGTAAGTATAGCTTATCTGAGAGTGGCTGGGATCCCAAAATTGTGGCTAGAGATTCAAGTTGATGCCCATGGACAGATAATTCTAAAGGGACTGCTTCTTTTACACCTTGTTTTCATTTCGGGGTGGGAAAAGGGGAAAGAGTGAGGTTTTGGGAAGAGATTTGGGCAGGGCAAACAGATTGTTGTTCGCTACATCTTCATCTCATGGATTATCCCAGTCTCTTAATTGGTCTGTTGCAAGAATGTGTGTAAATTCGTCTTCTTTGCCTTTAAGCTGGGATTTTGGGTTTAGAAGACATTTGAATGAACCAGAAGTGAGAGAGTTGTTGTCGTTGCTGTCAATTTTCACTTGATTGTTCCTCATAAAGAAAATAGAAGAGTTTGGATATTGGAGTCTTCGAGCATTTTCACTTGTAAATCATTCTCAAAGCATCTTTTGGATAACCCTGCTTTCTCTATTTTTGCTCCCTCCTTTGTTATTTGGAAAGCCAAAGTGCCTCCCAAGGTACGACTGGTAGCTTGGTTAATTTCTCATAGGAAGATCAAAACTTGTGATATGGTTCAACGAAGGCAACCCTCCGTTTCCCTGTCTCCCCACTTGTGTGTTATGTGCAGAAATTCCTTGGAAAGTATGGATCACTTGTTGCTGCCCTGTCCAGCAGCTTCTTCTTTGTGGTTTCGGTTAATCAAGGAGAAAGGTTTATGCTGGTCCATCCCCGTGTCGTCTAATGTGCTATTGTGTGAGAAATTTAGATTTTTTGGTGGAAAGAAAAGGGGTGTAGTTCTGGGGAGATGTGCTATGATGGCTATTTTCTAGGTTCTATGGGTTGAAAGGAACAGAACGGTTTTTGTGAATATGTTGAGTGAGGAGGTTGATTCTTATGGGATAGAGTGCATTTTTGGGGTCTTTGTGGACATCTGTAGTTTCAGAGTTCAGGGAGTTTATCTTTTTCTGTCTTTTTGTCAGATTGGAAAGCATCTGTTTTGTAGCTCTCTGGAATTCTGTTCTTGTTTTGGTGTTCTCCCTCCCCTAGGACTGAGGTGTTGGTGCTGTTCGCATGTCTAGTTTTCTTTTAGAAGTGGACTTCATGTTCACTTTTGTTGTACTGTTTTATGTTTAATAAACGTTCACGTTGCATATGTACAAAAAAACAATGGCCATGAAATCAACTTATGATGTAGAAAATATTAGGAAATGGACTCCAAGTCCAAGGGGCCAACATGAGATCATGAGAAAGGAATGGTTGTGTTCAAAGACTGTCATGCGGCTTACTCTGCAGTTGGGATGAGTATATTAACGTGGGCAAAACACAACAGGAGATGGAACCAACAAAACACATCTTATTTAAGACTTTTGGGATTCAACTTTGTAGATTGCATTATTTAAGACTTGTTATCTGGGTCATAAACACGGTGATAGCTGATGTCATAAGCTCAGCCCTAAAACTAATTTTTGAGGACAAGCCTTACCATGGGAAGGTAGTATTGATATATGATAATAAAAAAATGTTTTATATATAACGATTTACAATTTACGTTTATTGGTAGTAAATTTACGTTCATATCACCAGCCTGCTGTGTAGTCTTCTTTTTGTTTTTGGTTGGTATGTGTTTAGTACTTTATGTTTTGCCTTCCATTGTCTTTTTCTTTGCGTAGCTTAATTCTTCTTGATCTGTTTTGCCCAATAATTCAAAATTTTGTCTTGATCTCACTGCAGAGCACCTTGCCCTTGGGATGAGTCAAGTTCCCTTCCATCTACAGTCAAGGACGTTCCACCTGAAATGGGAAACATGACTGTGCCTGATTCACCACCAAAAGAAAAAAATAAAGAGGAATTAGATGATGAAAGCAGTCGAAAGAAAAGGAGGCGTGAAGAGAGAAAGCAGGAGAAGCATGAGAGGCGTGAAAAGCGCGAAAAGCATGGAAAACAGCATTCCTCAGATGAGAGAAGGAAACACAAGAAACACAAGGAGAAGAGGAGACATGATTCAGACTCTGAATAATATTTCAAGGTTTTGTGAAATATTGTCACAACTTTCAATGGAGATTAGTAAGTTCTTTGTAAATCATACATGAACTATCCACTGTATTTTTCTGTGCTGATTGACCGGAAATTCATAGTTGGTTTTAGATTTTCTGTTGGCAGATGGTAACCTTGGGTTTAGTTTGGACCCTCTTATTCTGAAAAATAACTGGAAAAAATTATTATATTTGCTGTTGGTGTTTGTTTAAATCATGTGCAATGCATGTTAATTTGGACCATCCGTGCCATGTAATCTACGGCCCTGTCACCTATCCATGCTTGCAAGGGGTCTTATTTCTTTTTTTGTTTTAAGAAAATGAAACGTTTCTGAATTGCAGTGGAGAATGCTCAATGTATCAATGTATTAGGAAAACAAAAATTTGGGGACCCTGTGATCACACCTTTGGCTATAAAAACCTTCATATATGCTAAGTTATTGAGAGAATCTTACATGTAATTGGTTGTATAATCATGTCTTTATCTTTCTCATAGCATGACTAGTCTAGTTACTTCAAGCGATAGATAAACACATAATTATATATGTCATTGATTTTTGAAAGTTGTGTCAAAGTTTCAATCTCTCCCTTTCCCATTCTCTCTTCCCTCTCTTCCAGCCAAAAAAACAACAAAAACCAACACGGTTTCAAATTCTAACATCAAAGCAAAATCCTAACTATTTATATTGGCTTGCTATTAGCACCCATAGAATTTCATTTATCTCATTCTTCAACACAAATTCTTCCTGTCTGCGTTCTCAAATGGCAGGCCTCATCCCTGAACTAGACCTCGAAGACCTCGATCAAGCTTCAAAGACCAAGAATTCGAAGGGCCCACCTTACCTTGTCGATCCCAGAGACTTGACGTTTGCAGATTCGTTCTTGGATTTTGAATCTGGTTTAAGGATATACCAAACCCTGATATGGCATAAACAGGGGAGGTCAAGGTTGAGGTGGTTGAAGAAGAGTCTATTGGAGAGGCAAATTCTTAATGTGTAAGACCCAATTGGTTGTGGGTCTGAATAGACTGTCGATGGTTCTGTGCCAATTGGTTGTGTGGAGGAGGACTCTGAAATATCAGATAATTTGAGTTGTTCTACTGAGGAAGAGCTGGGGAAGGTCAGTTTGCTTGGAGGGTGCGATCAAAATTCGGTTCTTGATGGTGGGAATTGTACGAAGAGTGAAGTGAGTCGTAATTCTGGAGGAGGAGAACCAGATAATAATGAGACCGGGAATGAAATTTCAAAGTCCAAGATTGAGGATGAGAATGCTGCAAGAAATAATGCAATCCTATTTAGAAAACAGAAACTTGTGTCTGTGTAGGAAGATCTATGTGATCGCTGCGACCATAAACCAGTGCAATTACACGAATTCCTGCGGTTTTCAATTTCAAAAAACTCTCTCTCTGCTTCCTGAACCCTAGCCCCCCTCTCTTCTAGCGCCGCCAGGGGAGAAGTGGTCACCGACCCTTCTCCCCTTCTTTGCCTCCTTGCTCCTCCTTTCCTCCTATCCTCCCTTCCCCCCCTTCTCCTCCCTCTTTTTGGTTCTTTGGTCGGTTTTTTTCGGCTTTTTCTCTCCCCCCCCCCCCTTTCTTTTTTCTCTGCTTCCCTCTCCCCCTCTCTCCTTCGTCCCCCTTCCTCTCCTCCCTTCTCTGTCCTCTTTTCCAGATCTCTACCTTCACATTTTTCTGTTTTTTTTGCTTTTGCTTTCTGTTCTTTTCTCCCATCTCCTTCTTTTAATTCTTTTTTGATTTTCTCCTTTACCCCCTTTTTTTTTCCCTGCCTTCTCCTCCATCTTCCATTCCCCCTCCCCCCCCAAAAAATTTTCCTCCACGGGTTGCTGCTCTGTTTTTGCAGAGCCAGTTCCTTTTCGTTCTTCTTTTTTTAAAGTTTAATTTGTTTCGTGTTTTAGGCCGTGAAGGCTTCGGTTTTAGGTTTTGGTGTTCTTTACAGGTTTCTGCAATGCATTTTCTCTCCTCATTGTTGGAGGCTGCGTCACATCGGTTGGTCTTAACCACTATCATCGGCTCCTTGACTCCACAGATGTTTCTTCTGTTGTCTATCCTCAGTGGAACTGTTGGAGTTTGGGATGCCTTTAAAGTGCAAATCGCACTTATTTCTTGGATTATGGTAGTGCTACTCCTACTGGGTGTAGCTTTGGTGGCTTGCCCACCACCATTTTCTGTTGGTCACTGGTTTCTCCTTGGTGGTTGTCGGCTTGCTATGGTGGCGCGGCTTGTGACTGTAGGATTGTGCGGCAGATGTCTGTTAATGGTGTTAGGGTTTCCTCATGTTGTGTTGAGCTTTGTGGGCTTTTGCATTTTGTGGGTTTTCTGCCTTGATGTGGGCCCTTCGCCTCTATGTGGGCTTAATGCCTTTATGTATGCTTTATGCATTTTGTTAGTTTTATTTGTAGTGAGCTATGTCTGTATGCATTGCATTTTGTGTGAACTCAATTATTTGAGTTCATTTTGATGTAATATGGCGTTTGACCTTCTATTTAATGAAACAAGATTTCGTCCAAAAAAAAAAAAAAAAAAAAAAACAAAATAGGAAAAAAAATAAGTATAGTATTATGAACAATAAGATCAATAAAAAAATCTAAAAAAATAAAGCCTTGAATAAAAATGGAAAATAAAATTACCTGATCGGAGAAGGGAAAAACTTCTGTATAGACTCCACAACTCGAGGTTAATTCCATAATTTGCAAACCTTTCCTCTTTAGATTCTTGAAACCTCAAATTCATCTCTCTCTCAGTTTTCGTTGCTAAATTAAGCCTCGTGCATTGTCTTGTCTTCAATCTCTCACCCCTGGATAAAACACGATCATCCCTTCATTCTCCTACTAACGGAAGTCTCATCACTATTCTTAGTATTGATGGAGGTGGAATAAGAGGGATTAAACCTTTTCTTTTAAGCATGTAAGGCTCGCAGATTATTTTCATGTAGTTGCAGGGACGAGCACATGTGGCCTTGTGGCGACCATGCTTACTACCCCAAATGAAAATAATCGTCCCTTGTATACTACTGAAGATATCATCCCTTTTTATCGCAAACACTGCCCTAAAATCTTCCCCCGATCTAGGTGTAGTTAATTGTTGACAAAGAAATCACATTGTTCTACTATGTACCTTTCGTATGCATACGATATTACTTGTACAATAGCTCTCTCATTGTCAATATTGCACATTATTTCAAACTTTTAGGACCCAAATATGATGGGAAGTATTTACATAAATTGTTGAAGGAAAAACTAGGAGACAAACATTTGCATGACACATTGACTAACGTTGTAATCCCAATTTTTGATATAAAGCGGCAACCTGCAGTTATTTTCCCCAGCTATCAGATTTGTTTATTAATTGTCTCTTAATTCGAACACATATATGTATATAATTTAATACTTTGTTTTGCTCTTTTTGTGAATAAATAATTAATTCTTGATTTTGTGTATATATGTTGGTCATGATTTTAGTTGAAAAAATACCCCAACCTAGATGCTTTGCTCTCGGATATATGCATTGGAACTTCAGCAGCCCCACACTACCTTTCAGCCTATCAATTTAATTCCATAACTTCTACTGATGGTGCCATCAGTGAGATTGAAGATGTGAAATTAGATTGATAGGCTGGAAAGTAGTACGGGGTTGTTGAAGTTCCAATGCATATATCTAAGAGCAAAACAGCTAGGCTGGGGTTCTTTTTCAACTAAAATCATGACCAACATATATATACAAAATCAAGAATTATTTATTTATTTACAAAAAGCGGCGCAAAACAAAGAATTAAATTATATACATCCATGTGTTTGAATTAAGAGACAATTAATAAACAAACCTGATAGCTGGATAAAATAACTGCATGTTGCCGCTTTATATCAAAAGTTGGGATTACAATGTTACTCAATGTGTCGTGCAAATGCTTGTCTCCTAGTTTTTATTTCAACAATTTATGTAAATACTTCCCATCATAATTGGGTCCTCTTAAAAGTTTGAAATAATGTGCGATATTGACAATGAGAGAGCTATTTTACAAGGAATATCGTATGCATACGAAAAGTATGCAGTAAGACAATGTGATCTCTCTATCAATAATTAACTACACCTAAATTGGCGAAAGATTTTAAGGCAGTGTTTGAGATAAAAAGGGACGATACCTTCAGCAGTATACAAGGGACGGTTATCTTCATCTGGGGTAGTTTCAAGAATCTCAAAAGAAAAGGTTTGCATGTTGTGGGATTAATATTGAGCTGTGGAGTTTATATAGGGGTCTTTTCCCGATCCGATCAGGAAATTTTAATTCCCATTTTTAATCAAGGTTGTATTTACTTTCCTCTTTGGATAGTCCTCCTATTGTAATTAGGACTTCTTTCATGATGATCACATAAATCTTCCTACACAGACACAAGTTTCTATTTTAAAATATTACTGCATTCTTTCTCGCACCTTCTCTGGTTCTCCTTCTCCAGAAGTACTGACTCACTATTTTACTCTTCATACCATTCTCACCGTTAAGAGCCGAACTTTCTTCATACCTTTCACTCCTCATACAAGTCCCACCATCAAGAACCGAATTTTGGTCGCACCCTCCAAGGCAACTGACCTTCCCCAGCTATTCCCCAATAGAACAACTCAAATTTCTGAGATTTCACGCTCCTCCTTCTACACACAACCAGACCCACAACCAATTGGCACAGACCCATCAACATTCTGTTCAGACCTCTCACTCTCTCAGTCTCTGTCCTCTCCAACCATCACCTGCAAAGGTAACTTTTTTGTTTTTTTTTTTTTTTTTTTTTTTTTTTTTTTTTTTTTTTTTTTTAGTTAACATGCTTTTGTTTAGTTTTTTGGTGCAACTTCTTATTTTGATCCGTAATATTTGGCAATGCAATTGTGGTTGATTGTGTGATTTTCTTAGGGCTGAATACATTATAAATTTGATTTTGTTTTGATGTTCTGGAAGATTCATTTGCCTAACTTGAAGTGCGCTTAAAGTTGAACTGCTTGATAAGTGTGGTGCCTGTGTATTGGAGGTCAGTGATAGTCTGCCCACTATGTAGTCGATAGTGGGTTCATCAGTTTAAACCTTACTCCAGCTTTCCACCTGTGTAGATTAATTCCAACACCTTATCCCTTTTTGTAGGTCCAAATGAGTAACTTGTGTGGCAAGAGGCAAATTAGAAATTTTTTGCCTGTGTAAATATACATGTGCAGAGGCCAATATACCATTGCTGGTGGCAAATTTACCTGTGCAGGAGGAAAATCTGAATCGTTTGCCTGCACATTTTCGACCTCTACAGAAGGCAGATTGAGTCACCACAATATCACTTTTTTATTTTATTTATTTTATAGGGTTAATGTTTTCCTTTCCTCCAAGATTATGCTCTAATGAGCTCAGTCTTTGTCCCTCTGTTAAAACTTAAAACTTGTTTGTGCCTATATTTTTCCTCTATTTTTGATGCACTATTTCTTTTTCCAGTACTGTGGATGTGTATATCTTCTTTCTTTTTGTGTATGCAGTTGTTCTATTCCTATATGATATACTATGGTGTTGTGCCCATGGATATACTTTGCTTTGTTTGTGCCTTGACAATGGTACCGTGCCTCTTGAATAGTGTTGTGCCTATATATATATATATATAATTTGTGTGTTTGTTTATCTTCTTTGCCTATTCATTACTGTTCAGTTGTATTTCTTTACATGTGTTTGATATTGTGTATATGTTTGTGCAGGCTAGTAATAGCACAGAAGCTCCATCTTTTTGAAATTTAAATGGCAACTCAAAACATAAAAACAAATGGTCAGGAAAAGTAAATGTCTAGTTAGACAATGGTCAATGGGGATAATTTCAGAACAAAAGAAAAATGTGGACTACAATAGATAACCAGTCCATAAAATATATTGCAATTTAATTATCTCTGAAGGTAATTCGTCTAATTAGTTTCTGCAGTGACATTTTTTGTTGGTGTTTGACTGCTCTGAGTTTTAGTTTATCATTGATTTTTCTGCTCATTCTTTGTCTTGTTGTCTTCAAGTATATTTGCATATCTTGTACTTGGCAATTATTTTTCCTTATTTTCCTAATTCCTAGTTCTCACTTGTGTGTATTCTAATTTTTTTATTTTATTTAACTTGTCTCTTGTGAATGCTATAGGGTAATAAGACAGCTATAGGTTTCTTGGTTTTACAGATGATTGATGGAAGTGTAAAGAATTATTACTTGAATCGAATGTACCTATGCTCTACTCTTTTGCATGTAATATGGATGCATGATTTAACCTAGGGGACAAGCATATGCATATCTATTAAGGGCATGTTCACTTATCATAAATGAGTGTTGGAATTATTCCAATTCCTTCTTATAATTGGCAGCTGCTTAGGAGCGAATCCGGTGGTGCAGGGACTCGTAGTCGTAGAGGTTGGTTTACGGGAAAGATTGGCCTGGTTGCAGAGGGTTGAAGCAAATGAATTAGTTTGTCTAGGATCTCAAATCCCACTGATACCAGATTAGGAAGACATGATTTCCTTTGGGTAATTGGAAGAGGATTTAACATAAATGAGTTGGGATGCATCAAGTTCAGTTTGGGGTTGGCCCTACTAAACTTTATTGCATACCCATGTCATGTTGCAGCTGATTTCTCCCTCTTACACCAGGGACAAGCTCCAACCCATGGAGATAGTGATGCTCTACTGTTTAGGGGGTCAGGCTTAATTCAATGTCACTCTCAATTGTAAGAAGGGTAGAAAAGGTTCCATGAAAAACAAAAAAAAAAAAAAAAAAAAAACATTTTTCCAAGGGGCTTGTTACTCAAGTGGTTAAAAGTATCTCCCCGTTCATCTAAGGGTTCTAGGTTTCATCATCCCCTTCCCCCAATACAAAAAAGAGAAGGTTCACTGTATGTTATTAATTTCTTTTTTAATGATATGATTAATGAAGGATTATGTTACTTATTACTAATTGTTATTTTTATTGACTGGGACAATGAGTGACACTGGGACGGTGGATTGGCATGCAAATATTTAGGCATTACTATCTTTCTCCTTATTCTCTGGTTTGAAGCTGCTGTTTTATTGTTTATTATGCTGGTGGCAATTACAGTTGGCACATTTGCCACGTCCACTTCAACTGGTGAATAAATGTCTTCAAGTCATTTGAGGATAGAGATAATCAGAAAGTTTCGAAATCTGTAGATTGCTTATGAAAAATGCTACTACTCACCCACGCACCGGTGGACCGTTGATGATCGGTGGACCATTGATGATAGTGAGTCTTACAATGCATTAACGACTTACAATCATCACGCGTGAGCAATTGTCTTTAACACAAATCTTTGTTTATAATTGGGAAATAATTATTTGAACGGAGAATGGATGTGATATCGTGCAAAAGCTTCCAAGACTTTCTGATATAAAAAGACAGAACAATTCTCTAGAAAATACAAAAGAAATGACGACTCATGTGAAGAATCATGTGAAGAAAAGACAAAGTTTAGAGAAAGAAGGAGAGATGAAATCCAAGCTAGAGGGAAATTCAACTCCATATACAAATTTACACCTCACCATTGCCAAACTCACCTCTCTCTCTCTCTCTCTCTCTCTCTCTCTCTCTCTCTCTCTCTCTCTCTCTCTCTCTCTCTCATTTCTTCTGTTTTGCATTGCTCTTTCGGTCTTTGTGCTCATGGAAGTTAACACCACTGCTGAAAAACACCACACTCATCATAAATACCACCTTTCAAATTCTCAACCCTATAACCACCACCACCATCACCATAACCATGGAAATTTTCCTTCAAAATATACTCTCATTATCATGTCCATCATCTCAGTTATGCTCCTTGTTATATTCTTGATCATTTTAATCCTTCGACGGCTCAAGTCCACCAAAAGTTACAATGGCAAAACTTACAGAGAGAATAGCATCATCAGCAGCAACACAAGAAGCAGGTTCATTGCTCAAACCTCAATGCCCACCTTCAATTCCAGCCCAGGTAATACACAGAAAAATGAATGGTTCTTCTGCTCATAATGCTTTGATTATTTATTTATTACAAGTGATAGTCTAGACTAAAAGGAGGAGGGGAAGTTTCTCACACACACTACCAAGGTGCCATGGAGGTTCGAGACTACTGATCTGCGAGTCAAAATCCTCTTCCACTAGGCTAGACCATGTTGGCAGAATGCTTTTTTTTTAATTAAAAGAAAAAATATGGCTTTTAACAAGCCCATTATGGAATTTGGCTGAACATGAGTTTTTTCTATTCCTCCAGAAATTCTGATATTGGCATGTGAAAATGTGGCAGATGTGAAGGGTGGGTGCCTAAACCTCCAAGGAGGGGATTCTGGAAGGTCAGTGCTTAAGACAACAGCAGAAATACTCACAGCACCAAACAGACACAGAAGAGGAGGGGGAGGAGCAGTCCAAGTGTTTTCATACAAGGAACTTGAGGTGGCCACTGAGAAATTTAGTGAAGCAAACGTGATAGGGCAGGGTGTGTTTGGGGTTGTGTATAGGGGGATCCTCAGAGATGGGACTGTGGCTGCAATTAAGATGCTGCATAGAGAAGGAAGGCAAGGGGAGCGTGCTTTCAGGCTTGAGGTGAGTGACTTCATTTATTATTATTATTAGCTTTTGTTCCTACTTGCTTTCTATCCAATATCCACCCCTCCTTTTTCTCTTTAATTAATTTTGTTGCTGTATTGTCTCTCCTGTTTCAAGTACATTGGCTTTAAAATGAATGCCCTTTTTGTCATTTTTAGGTGTAAGCATTTGTACTGTCCACACAAACCATTTGAGCAAAATTAACTAAGGCATTGCTAGATTTTTTGCTTGCAATATAATTCTCTCTCTCTCTCACACACACACACAAAGGAGAAAAACTTGACGTAATGTGTGAAAAAAACAATCGATGTATCACACGATGTGTTTAAAAGACACAACCGGTGTATGAGACGGAGATAGGAGAGTTTTACTACTCCTTTCAAAGATGCTATGACCTTAGTATTTTACCTAACCACACTAAAAGAATGAAAATCTTGAGGACCTCTTTCTCCAACACACATTACGCTTGCATTCAAATGTTTTGACAAAAGGATTATTTTTCTATTTTAAAGAAGAATGCGTGTTGGTAGTATATTTTATTAAAATTTTCACATGGGTGTGAGACAAAATATGAAATTAAACAAATGCCTTTTTTTCTTCCCCTATTGTAGGTGGATCTACTAAGCCGATTGCATTCTCCATACTTGGTGGAGCTACTTGGCTATTGTGCTGACCAACATCATAGGCTCCTAATATTTGAATACATGCCCAATGGTACCCTACAACACCATCTCCATTCCACAAACAACCATAAGCCGTTGGATTGGGGGACCCGATTGAGGATAGCCCTTGATTGTGCCAAGGCCCTTGAGTTCCTCCATGAGCATGCCATCCCACCTGTCATACACCGTGACTTCAAGTGCACCAGCATTCTACTTGATCAAAACTTCCGTGCCAAGGTGTCGGATTTCGGATTGGCCAAGATGGGTTCTGAGAAGATCAACGGTCAGATTTCGACCACGGGGTATTTGGCACCAGAGTGAGTGCTACTACATCATCTGTAATGGACCTCCTTCTCTCAAGAATGATCATTAAGATACCAACAAATTTAGAGGCATGCAATAGAAGCATACACATGGGCTTATATGCTAGGATCACTATTATGCTAGCTGTCATTTTTTATCAGCTTCATGGGTAAAGCAAAAGAACTGCTAAAACCTAAACACCATTTTGGACAAAGGCTGACAGTGACATTTTCTTGCTTTGATGCCTTTTTGCATGGTCCGTATACAAACTGCATATAAAACAAGTCCATTCATGAAAATTACAGACGGACCCTTTGATTTCAATTTAAATAGGGAATTACAAGAAGATCCTTGTGTACATAAATAATACTTTTCTCTTCACTGTGATTTTTGAGTTTTGGACTTTTTGGTGATGTATAGGTATGCCTCCACAGGACAGCTTACTACAAAATCAGATGTGTACAGCTATGGTGCTGTTCTTTTAGAGCTGTTAACCGGGCGTGTGCCAGTTGATACCAAGAGGCCTCCTGGAGAGCGTGTCCTTGTCTCATGGGTTAGTCAATCATCATGGCATACAATGCTACTAAAAGTGAACCCTGCAAATTTCTACTTAATAGTATATAATATTGGATTCCGAGTCTCTGCATTTACAAATTGTGTATTTACATGCATTCCGTTTAATCTAAAATGTTACAACAACCTAATGGTTAGACTTATTGCAACATCAGCTAGCCTAATCTTAATAGTTACACTTTCACTAAAATTAGGCTAGGTGATGTGCAACACGTCTAACCATTAGATTGCTACGGAGAGACTCAATGTTACGTTTATGTAGGTATGTATGCCTACAATTTATGCATGCATGTATGATGTATCTAAGGTGTAAACTAAAGAAGTTGCTAATTTTTGTTGTATGACTCGTCAGGCTCTTCCAAGGTTAACTACCAGAGAAAAAATATTGGAAATGGTTGATCCATCTCTAAGAGGGCAATACTCAAACAGGGATCTAATTCAGGTCAGCTTAGCTAGCGAGCTTCCTATAGTCAAACCTTCAACATCTGTAAATTATTGGTGCTAAAATTTCAACCAACTCAGATTTTTCTTGCCACTATATTGTTTCACAGATAGCTGCTATTGCTGCAATGTGTGTGCAGCCAGAAGCTGAATACCGGCCTCTAATGGCAGATGTTGTACCGTCTCTAATTCCTCTGGTTAAGAACTCTGGTTATGTTGGTTCCTCTGGCTCCTCTAGATTTCAGAATCAGGTAGCAAGTCCGAGGTATTAGCTACGGGCTGTACCAAAGTCGGAACACTTGAAGGGAACCATTCAGACCAACTAGTTATTTGTCTAGTGGTATATCTTATTTTCAACACTAGATATATTGAAGTACCATGGATGAGTGAGTTACAAGTTTCAGTTCCATCAATAATATTTGATGCAAACGCATACAAAGTACTCTGGATGGATGTGAAGTGAAGCACATTAAGCAAAATATTAATTAGCCTCTTTCTTCTTCTTTTTTCTTTTTCCAAAGCAGACAAGATCAAATAGAATTTTTAACTGCCACAATCTAAGAAAAATGAGAAAATCAAAGAGTTGAGACCTCAAATTTCCAACAAATCCGCCACCATATTAGTTTGTAGAAAATATGACAACTCAAATGAGTCAAATTCCTAGTATCATGATCTTGCAAAGGAGATTCTGCAAGGAACATTAGAAATTTTTATGAGTAAATATCAATTATAATTTTGAAATCACCTTCAATTGTTAGATTTTTGTAATTACCAAGTATGCTTCTTGGCAAGAACCATGCCTGCTGTTGTCGAGACTTGATCATGTTTTGGCCAGATATCCTAACCCCAATAAGTTATTCGAAATGAATACCTTCTAAACTCCAATAATACTGTAAATAACCAAATTAAACTAGAGAAGCAGCAAAGAAAAGGACCAAAAAGTAAACTCCAATTCACAAAATACTAATCGAGTAACAAAACAAAATCCGGCAGATGCATACCAATGAAAACCCAAAGAATTATGAAATTTATCAATATTTATATTATTAGATAAAGAACACCATCTGAAGCCCCAAACACCAACTTACAGAATAAGGAAAAAAACACATCCCACATAACCAAAACCAACCAAAACAACCAGATAATTGTTAAGGCTACCCACCCCCTATATATACCAACTTATAATACAGCGAAAAACTTGAGTTAGACATGATATCCCAAGAGACAACCCATTAGAGAAATTATCATAGGGGATCCTGAGAGCACATCTTGACTTTTTCCAATGATTAAGCGGCAAGTACTACTATCACAATGAGAAGCACGATTCCAAATATTACCAAGAGCAAGCAAGTCTGCAAAATACGATGAGATCAATAAGATTGACAATGTTAAAGGATATTCAGATATGCCTTAAATAAATTGAGAGATGGAGATAATACAGATCATTAATATTCCTCTTAAGTGGGATTCAATGCTTACTTCATGTATTTTAAAATACATGAGTACACCTACTGAAGTATATTATGGTTCTGAAAACAGGAATGGACCACATATTATGCCAGAATCAACTTAAGTAGTGGCTCAAATCGGATTTAGCAACATAAACAACAAAAGGAGTTCTACTGCAGTAATTTTTAGATGTATTACCATTAGGTGTAGATTATAGAGATATCTAGTCATATACCCATTCTTAGCACTAATAATATAGATACCCTACACTATTTAATTTATATAAACAAACCCAAAAAAAACCCAAAAAATGATAGCTGCCCCTATTGAATTTAATTTTGATTATTAAATTACTTTGATGCCCTATTGAGTGTTTCGGGCTTTTTTATGAGGTTTTGGGGTCGGGTTTGTTTTAAGAAATCAGTGACAGTTTTGTAATTTAAAAAAAATTAAAAGCCTTTTTGTTATGTTGTAAATGGGCTTTGTGTGTGTTTCTAAAGTTCATTTCATATGGGGTTTTTTTATAATTTGGACTCCTATATTGGGTATAATAGTGAATCTCCCTAGATTATATTCCTTAAAGTTTAGGCCTACTTGGGTTAATTTACAGGTTGCTTAGAACTGGGGTATTCCAAGCTAACCCTGGTCCCTTGGTTCCTTCTTGTTTGCCTCGTTGTGGGGTTTGTTGGTTTGTGTTCTGGGTTTCGGGGTTGTCCCTCACAGTTTGTGTTCTTCGCCTACCGCTTTCGTGCTTAGGCTTTGTTTGTAAATGGCTGTGGCCTCTTTTCTGTATAATTTACTAGTTCATTTATCTCCCCCCCAAAAAAAAACATAAGCATTTTGTGTTGCCAGACAGGCTTGCAAGAGAACATTTCAGAACACATACATACATATATTTGTAAAATGCCATTAGAAAGTGTTATAAATTACCAGAGATGAATTTGATCTTTGGGTCTTTGAGGCCTTAACAAGTTGGGACTTTGCCTGGCCAGTAGCAGCATGGGCACCCTCAATATTGGAGCCTATATCATCTGCAAAGTAGATATGATCACATAAGAAAAAATGAGCCAGATAAATAATAGTGCCTTCAAGAGAGTAAAGACAAGGATAAGTTACCAATCATGGTTCCTTGCTCATGAACCAATATAGCAAGATCTTTAAAAATCTCATTCACTTCACCAATTTGCTGCTGGATTTCTTGTATTCCTTGTTCTCTTTCCTCGATGATAGCCTCATTGAAGGAAATCTCATTGTCCAATAGCACGACCTCCTGTCTGCAGCACAACCCATTTAGAGCTAAGGATATATGGCAAATCCAACATTGATAAGAATTTTTAACTTAAGTAGATAAATGAAAGAACAATCAAAATTTGGGAAACAGCTAGCATAAGATAGATAGAGCTTCAACTCTCGCAATTGGAAATGGAGCCAAAGACGGTTAATGCTTCCAAAAAAATTTGTGCATAAGAGAATCGTTTTCAAGGTGAGAAATAAGCCATTAGCATTTCGATGTAGGACAACACAAGGTGTGTGTTGCTTTATGATTATAGTGAGCTTTAGATGGCATACATCTTAGTAATTTAAATAGGTTTAGAGAAACAGGAGAAAAAGGATTGAAGATTGCTGCAATTTAGAGAAAAACAAAGAAGTGGTGGAGGATGAAATATCAAGGCCCTAGCCTTGCAACAATACTTACTTTTCATTCAATCCAAAATCTGATTTGTTTTACAAGAGATCAAGTTATTTACAGGCTTAAAATTAAACACCCAAAACTATACTAAAAGACTCATTAAATAGTAGAAAACTACTAGAAGACTAAATAAGTAATGGAGACTCAAAAATTACAAAAGACATCTTCTAGATCCCACCCATAACAGTCTTCCACATCCCTTGACCATGATTTCATATTAATTCTATTTCTAAGCCTGTCTTCTCCACAACCATACTTCCACTGGACCACTTTCCCTCCAAAGGCCCACTTACTCCACCATAAACCCAAAACTGGACTTGGAGAATAGTTCATTTACATTTCACACTCATCAACAATGGAGAATTCAATTCATTAAAGACCTTTTAATCAGTAATACATGTAAAAACACTGTTCTGATTTTTTTATGAGATAAACACAAATCTACTCTTGTCCAGACATCCGGATTTTTGTCAAGAGATGGCCGTGGTTTTGCATCTAACTTTCTTACTTCTAACTGCTTATTTTATATAACATACAGCTTCTGCGCACTGATCTTCATTAAAGCACAGGAGTACAAAAAGTTATACATTAGAAAAATGTTCAAGATTTGAATTCCTTACGCACCTGTCAACGGATTGGTTGAAACAAAAAGCAAAAAGTTATAAAAGGTGCATCAGATTTATACTTCCTATGCCCTGATACAATGTCCTCATGACGGTGGAGTAAGTTAATTTACTAGCAGATCAGATGGAGGAAAAACGACTGAAACAATGCATCTGAGAATTAAAGAAAATCTTTTCTACCGGATAGAAATTTTTGGAGAAATATATATGTACATACATATATAAACCACAAGAGATATACTATTGCTCTTGCAAAACCAACTGCTACAATTCAAGTTACCACTTCCAAATGATCTTTGCTACTAACGCACACACACACATTTCACATTGCTGTATCAGTTAGAAGTCCTCCGCAAAATCAAGTAAAACTCACCTTCTAGATTCCACAAGAAGAGCACGCTGTTCGGGACTCTTATCTGAGCTTATATCTATCTCACTAGCAGTGTAGCTGCATGAAACAGTATTCAATCATACAACTAAAAATTGAGGGTCTGACAACACTAGATGTAATGCAACTAACATTAGGAAAAGATCTTCTGGAAGATATCACATAAAATAGACTAACTTTAAGTACGGTAAGTGAACTACTATGGTCAGGTTCACCTACCAGACTCACAAAATAGTGCACATAAATAATATATTGGATTTACCCTCTGACAAAAAGTTACCTGGACGGAAGAACTGCTTGGGGAACAAAAGGAGCGTACGCTGTTTCTCTCTCAGCTGCAAGCCGTTGAGCCTTCTGAAATTCTCTCAGCACTGCTTGAAAATCTTTTGCAAGCTTAGCATCTGTAATCTTCTTGCTCGCCTGCAATTAAGTTGAAGACATTCAAGATCATCACACCCCGCAAAGCAGAAGGAAAAAATCAATTAAGTTTAACAAGCAAACAATAAAGTTTGAGTTTTTCAAAGGCCAACCCACAATAGAAAGCAAGAATGCACCATTTCAACCAATCAAATGTACCTATTTGGCCAATCAGAAATTCCCTAAAGTGGACCCAAATAAATACTCATAATAGTGCTTCACCCAAATAAATACTCTAACAAAACTTGACATAATCTTTGACTCTGATTTATTTTTATTGTTTCTTTTTATTTTCTGATTCTTGAGCCACAATATATTTCATTTTAGACCAAAAAGGTCTTATTGCTAGATTTGGGACAATGGGGCTTAGACTTAGGCTTCAAAAGAGGATATTTCTTTGCTAACCAAATTGTAGCTATCGTATCATTGAGCACTGGAAGTTATCAATCAAGGTAATAATGGATACATCTGATGGTAGGTGCAAAGAGAAAGGCATGTATCTCTACTTTTGGTTGTGTATGTGTGTGAGAGAGGAAGGGATGGAAAAAGGAGGGGAAGAGAGAGAGAGAAACTTACATTGACTTCAGTATGATGATCTCTTTCACTAACTTGTTTAAGTTTTTCTGAAGTATCCTTCACCAATTGACCAATATGTAGTCTTGTCTTGTGCCTGCAAATCATGAGAAGTGAATATGGGAGCACTAGAAAATGGAATTTATTATGCATGCCGTATCTTGTGGAAATCATTCACAATAATGGAAGTAAGTGAGTGAGGGAAGGGGGGGCGGGAGAGAGAGAGAGAACACCAACAGTCATTCCATCTATGCAACAGGAAAATGGGCAGAACAAGCTTAAAATTATTAGAAAATTAGAAATTACAGGTCTCCATAACTTCTAATGCAATCACATAAAGGACGAATAGAATCAAATTTCATACACATTATCCAGCTGGAATGAAGAAAAGAAGCATGTTGAATAACCAGAAAAGACACTTCAGAACTCGAATGAACTAATCTGGGCATTGCCCTTAAGCCATTTTTTCTTAAAAAATTTCAAATCTTGAAATGATATTGCATGCACCTCCAAAACGCTAGCCAAACAGATAATCCTAATCCATCAAATTATACAGCACAAAAGGCTAACGCGAAGCGCCTCATCCAAACAATTAAAATTCAGGCAGTCATGATACTAACCATGACAGAAAACCAATTCAGCCTTCACCAAACAAAATTCTCTACAAGTCAACACTAAATGCAAAACCAAACAATTCAAACAAAATTGATAAGGAAGTAAAGAACTCACAGCTTTTCGCGGAGCTCGGGCGTGTCCTTGGGGGTACCGATGGTGTTGACGAGCCTCTGAAAGGTGGATACGGCGGTGTTGATCTGGAAAATGCCTGAGGCCACGGCTTGGGTCGGGTCCTGCTTGCCATTGACGATGTCACGCCTTGAAAAACCCGAGCCCCTTCCTGCTTCCAGATCCCGAAAGCTCATCTCGCTTCCCTCCCAAACCCTAACCCTTACTTTCCCGAGAAAATCCTGACAATAGTTTCGAAAAAATGGAAAGAGAAGCTGGTGTTTGGATACGAATTAAGAATTGCGGGAAGAACGGGGAGATAAGCAGGAGGCGATGATTCGGAAGAGAGAGAGAGAGAGAGGGAGAGGAAGGGAAAAGGGAAGAGAGAGAGAGAGAGAGAGAGGGAGAGAAAGAGGAGGTATGCGTACGTCTCGTATTGTATTATTGATGCGGTGAGGTTGTTTTTTCTGGTGGAAACTATTTGGGGACGGAAGCCGCTGCCGGCAAGTTGATGTGGACCCACAAATGGAATTTTTTAAGAAATAAACTTATACCTCCATTTCAATTGTGACCTTTAAGAAAAATTTAAAAGACATGTCACCTTAATTTTTCAAAATTCAGGACTTGTTATTTGAGTTTAACGCCTTCCAATTTTCTATATATTTTAAGAGTATTTTATTCTTTTCATTTTAAAAAAAAATTATCACCTCCCCATCCCCAATGTGCCATCGATGGCTCCAACCAACCATGCCACCTTGAAATCTATTCCCTCTTCCCTCTTTCCCTTTCGCCTTCTCTCTCTACCATGGAATACTTACCCTCCATAAACAAATTCTCTCACCCCACCCAAACTGAGTCCACCTTCTTCTTCTTCTTTTTTCTTTTTTAAAATTTATACATGTGTATTTAGGGTATCTTTTATCTCTTTTTTCTTTCTTTGAAAATGGAAAGACTAAAATATCCTTTAAAATGGATGAAAAATTGGATGGTGTTAAAGATAGATGACAAATTATGAATTTGAAAAATTAAGATGACATTTCTCTTAAAATTTCCTTTAAGGTGACAAATTGAAATTAAGGTATAAGTTCATATATAATTTCTACAATGTTGAGCTTTCCAAGAATGTAAAGTCAATCTTGTGTGCAACTGAAGTGGAAATTTTTTTCATCAAAAGGGTACTTTGATGGTGGGCATCCAAATGGGAAAGCGGAAAACTAAGTCAAACTAAATCGGAAAAAAGGGAAATCAAACCAAAATAAAGAGTGTTGTTATTTCCACCCACTGTCCCATTTCCCCATCCACCTTATCTTCTCACCCACCATTATTCATAAAATACCCATTATCTTTCCATCCACCAAGTAAATAATATTATTAATTAATTAATAAACAATATAAAATACTAAAACCAAAAAAAGGAAGACTCTTTCTCTCTCTTTTATCCGATCCCCTCCCCACCAATTTCTACACATCCCACCCATTCAACCCCACCCCCCCCCCCCCCCCCCCCCCCCCCCCCAAAAAAAAAAGCCCAGCACCTTAGCCATAGAACCCAACCCAGATGTTGTTGCTGCTGTGTGAGCAAATATTTCAATCTCCAATCATGAGATGCCACATGGATAAGAAGAATATCCTTTAGGTCAATTAATTAAGTCATTTATTTTGACACCAAAAATGGGGATATTATCTTTATTTAAAGAGATAAGATCACTAATTAAGATATTATCTTTATTTGGAGATATCACCATCAAATTAGGAGATTTGATCCCAATCAAATCCCTTATGGACTCAATCACTACAATTTGGGGAAAGAATAAACTTCTTTATGATAAGAGTTTATTCTTTGCAAAACCCTAGATGCCTAGAGCCCTATAAATACATGGCTTCACTCAACACTCAAGGTAACTCTAAACCTAGCTCCGAAACCCTGCAAAAATACCCGAAATCTCCCTCCCTCTATCTCCCTAGCCGACTGCACCACCATTGCCGCCGACCTCATCGCTCTCCTTTCTCTATATTTTCATACACGGCTAAGTGCCACCACACATGGCTACAACCACCCGTTTCTCACCATAAATAAATTTTCATACCCTTTTTTTGGCTATTGTTTCTCTTAAATTCAATTGAACTAACTTAGGCACTGAAGGGTCTTTGGCCAACACTCCCAAGGTGTGATCTATTTACTCCGGTCTTTTTTTACAAGAATCGAGGATGGGAGAAAAAGAAGTTCAAAGGGCGAAAGATCCATAAGCGAATATTCTCCTAAGAGATTATTTGCATAACAGCTGCAGCTGCTGCTGCTACTTTCTCTCTCTCTCTCTCTCTCAATTGAGAGGTGCAAACTTTAAGAACCTAGAATTGTTGGGCTGATTCAAATCTCAATTAAAGTTCCTTTCATATTATTAACACTAAAAATGTGAGGGTGGATCAACTTGGGATCTTTTGATTGTGAGGTGGTGATTGTTGAAGAAACAATTTGGGATCTTTTATTATTATTTTTCTCAATTTTTAAAATTGGTTTTAATATTTTTCCCCTAAGTCCTTAGATGTCATTTTATAAAGGGGTAAATATGTCTTAAATTTTTTGAAAATAAGGTGAGTTGGAAAATATGACAGGTCAATGGAAATTGCAGCACTCAAATTACAACTATAAAAAAAAATAAAAATAAAAGCAAACCAGACAAGTTCAATATGATTCCAATTCCAATTTTCTGTTAGTAAAAACTGACTGGCTGCATATATATATTTTTTAAATACAAATCCCAATTTTTTGAGTCCTATTCAACATGTCAAAGAATCCTACTATTTGATAAGTCCAAATCCAAGTTCCACAAGCCCAACTCCATCATACCAAACCCAACTCCATTATACTAAGCCCAACTATCTTTCTTTTTTTGGTAACACATTCACTCTTATTTAGGCTTGGCACGGTTTGATAATTGTGCCATCGGAGAGTTGTCACCTACCACACTGACCGTAGTCGGTGTTGCATTTCCAATGACTGATGCCGAGTAAATTAGACGAGAGACCGACTACAGTCAGTTTGCCGAGAAATTCGTTCCATTACAGGTAGCGCCAATGGTGAGTTCTTTGGCCTTGGACTATGTGTTGTAGATGACAACGAGAACGACTTCCCGACAATGATGACGGCTTTGCAATGTGATAGGAAGCATAAAGAGAGGGAGTAAGAAGATAGAGAGCAGAAAGAAAGAAGAAGAAAAAGACCGCAATGCTTAGATGAAAAAAAGGAGATGTGTTAGGGTTAAAACCCTAACACTTTTATAATTTAATTTTTTTATAAAAAAATTATTAGGTTTCTTCAAAATATCATCATTATACCATTAAAACACAAGAATACCAGTTACCATAGTAGTATGCTGACTTTTGAAAGTGTTGGAGGTCAGGGGTTTGAGTCCACTAACTCCAATTTTTCAAAATATTAGCATTTGTGCAAATCGGTTCGGTTCAGGTGAATTGGCAGTTTGCAACCAAAGATTGGGCGATTCGATCTAATTCACTGCCAAAATTCAAAAAATTAAAAGAAAAATAAGACCAACCCACCTAAACTAGTCTAATTCTGGCGAGTTGGTCGGGTTTTGGATATAAATGCCCAGCCTTACTCTTATTCATCTTCTTCCTCTTGTTCTTTACAACATTTTTCTCTCTCTTTTCTTTCTCTTATTCTTCAACTTCTTTCTCACACATTCAATCTATCTTTCTCATGTACACTCTCTCACTCCTTTTTTTTCTCTCTCTCTCTCTCTCCTCTCTCTCTCTCTCTCTCTCTCTCTCTCTCATTCTTTCATTCTCTGTTTTTCTATTTTTCCTCCAACAGCCCCCATTATTATCTAACAAAGTAGATGAATTATGGATGAAAGACATAAAGATGAGGAATTCATACCTCCATTTTTATAAGAATTCAATCAATAATATATGTTTGATCTCAATATGAAATAAAATGTTGTTTTCAGAATCTCATCCATATTTTATTTTATTTTTAATTGAAATGTAAAAAAAAAAAAAAAAAAAACACCTAACATAAACATAAACATTAACACAAAATAAGTTCACAAAAAAAAAATTAACATGTAATTCAAATGACAACATAAAAAAAATATGAGTGCTGTTATTTCCACTCACCTGTCTTACTTTTCCACCCATTTTATTTTCAAAAATTTAATAAAAAATTTATTTCATTGTAAAATGACTTCTAATGACAAATTTACAACTCTCTCTCTTACATGCACTCACACCCATATTTTCTTTTTTTTTTTTTTTTTTTTTTTTCAAAACCCACACCCATCTCCAATCAATTTAGGGGGCTGTACAGCCACCTCTGTCACTAGTTTAGGTGTTGGTTTCGGATGGTCTTCTTGGACCTCCTTAATTGTAATGCTTTGTGGGGAATTTTTCTTAGCTGGGGCAAATATGAAAATACAATTAAAAGGTATTTTGGGAATAATAGTAGGTGGAAAGATAAGTTTGAGTTTTTTCAAATTTACATAGTGGGTGGGAAGATAAGGTGGGTGGGAAAATAGGATAAGGGAGTGGAAATAACACCACTCAAAAATATAGAGTTCGAAATATAGGGCCTCCTATTTGGGCTTAATTCCTTTAAAGCCCAAACAATTCCGTCGAAATTCTAAATTGGCACCCCATTTAGAGTCCATCATTGGGCTTGCTCTAACAAGCAAAATACAACAACCCGAAAGTTTATGGATAAATTTCTACTTCACCCAAGACAAAAGTCCATCCAAACGCGTATCGGAACCTGTCCTAATGGGCCCCACCAGTCCAATAAATACCAATCAACACGCTCGCACGTTTCAAAGTTTACTATCTGACGAAAAATAATAATAATAAAAATTTTCAACAACGAAAACCTTACGGTGCCTCACGTGCCACGGTCCAGGGCACATGCCCCTCTAAACCCATACTTGACGCCTGCGCCAGTATAAAAATATCTCATCCTGACCCAAAATTGCTTTCATTTTCTTCATTACGACTTTGCTGTCTGAGAAAGTCTCAGTTTCTCCGGCAACTTTACGGCCAGTCTACGTCGTCGTTGATCTTCATTTTCGCCCCTTGATCTTCTCCAGTAGAACCTCGCCATGTCGGTGAGTACTTTCTCTCTTGTTGTCTTTCTCCTTCTGTGTGTATGTTCCTGAATTTATTGTTTACATCAAATTGAACTGAGTTT